CCGATGGAATATGGAGCATCTGCATAGTGCAATAGTACAATGGTGCAATGGTGCAATATTAAATTGCCTTTCTTCTGCTCGTCAAATTTAGAAAACAATCCCAAAGTCATACTGCCCCGCGCGTTTCCCACCTTCGTTCGTATATTCGCTTGGATATTGTGACAGCATCTCTTCGAATCGCACTCGTCGCTATATCTCACCTCACCTGCTCTAGATCTCTAGTGCTCTAGTACAAGTACGCCTTCTCCCGAGGTAGGTCACACACGCGAGGCGCCTCTTGGATTGTCCATCGTTGTCGTCCGGCTGGCAGGAGGTGTGTTTACGTGTGTCCCCGTCTTTCTCATCTGAGCATGCCCTCCTGCTAGCTTTGAACCCTCTACGATGGAGGGGGATCCAGGTAGCGGACCATCCACCGGCCAGACGTCGTCTTCGTCCAAACCCACTCCGAAACATGAAGCTTCTGTACCCTCTGGCGGTTCCGGAACTGGCAGTACTCCGAACGCGCAGCTGTCTAAACGGAGGAGGGGTCTCGGCGTTGTCACACCTAATGCCTGTACCGAGTGCCGGAAGAAGCGCGCTAAGTGCGACGGCCAAAAGCCGTGCGGTCGGTGCAAATCGCAAAAGGATGTCGAATGCATATACGAGATTCCCGTGCGACAGTCCAAGGAAAATTTACGCCACGAGATCGAAGCTCTGCGACGTCAACAGCGCCAAAGCGATTCGGTCTTCTCCGCTCTCGTCCGCCCTGATTTAGTTGAAGAGGTCTTACAGAGACTGCGGCAAGGGCAGTCTGTCGAAGGGATATCGGAATGGTTAGGTAGTGGTGCTGCCCTGGCTTCTGCTGGGCCCGGGTTCGTACGGCCAGGCGAAGCCAGGGGCGGAGTTACTCTGCCTCCTCTTTCAACTTATGGTGGTACGCTCGCTGGTCCTGGAGGTTATAATACCATGGGAATGAGCCCTGCGACGGGCCAAGCGCATACTATAAGCCAGGATTTCGATCCAAATAGCCCTTGGAACTTCTCATCGCACAGTCAGACCGTATCCACTCGTAGCGACTCCCATCCGGATATCATGCAGTGGACCTCTGAGGCGCCCCCGCGGTCCCGTGTTGGCACGTGGCTCCAAGAGCAGTCGTCGACGGCGGAAGGACCCCGATACCGTGGAGTAGACCAAATTCTTGCGCCATTGGATTCTCCCGAAGTGAAGGTCCCACCTGGTACGTGGACCACAGTCACTGGAGATAGTGGCTTGGTATCGCATCTTTTGGCGCTCTATTTCTGCTGGGAATATCCGACGTTTGCGTCTCTGAGCAAGGAGCATTTCATGAAAGACTTTATCAGTGGGAGAGATCGATATTGCTCGCCGATACTAGTGAACGCATTGCTGGCTCTCGGCTGCCGCTTCTCGACGCAACCAAATACGCGGGCAAATTCGAACGACCCGCGAACCGCGGGCGACCACTTCTTCAAAGAGTCTCTGAGACTTTTTTATCGGGAAAACGACCATCATACTTTGACCACTATTCAGGCTTTGGGGATAATGTCTATTCGGGAGGCGAGTTGTGGGAGAGATTCGGAATCCTGGTATTACGCGGGACAAAGCATACGGTTAGCCATCGAAATGGGACTCCACCGCTTGCAGAACGATGGTGACGAGGATGAGATAGCCGTACAGGCCGCGACGTTTTGGGGTGCGTTTGCCTTAGATCAGTAAGCGTGTCACCGGTTGTCTCCAGTGCTCCAGCTGACGTATATAAAGTGCATGGTCCCTAGCGACCGGTTCTCTGCCGCAGTGTTCTTGCTTTCCGCATTTACCGCCGAAACCTGCCATTATTGATGACATAGAAGCTTCTCTGTGGGTCCCTTATACGGACGATGGTAAGTCATATGAATAGATACCTCTGTCAGGTTTTCTAGCGGCATAGGTGATATTGGGAATGATCTAACCAATTGTATAGGCGCCCCACTGCAACGATCTTGCGAGCAGCCGTCGAATGTAAGGTCTGTTTACAAATGCTTCTGCGAGCTTAGTGAGCTTGTTCATCAGTCGCTATATGTATTACACTCTCCTGGAAAGCCCATTACAAGTAGAGACCTACTTAGTATTTATACGCAATACCTGAACTGGTATGATAGGATCCCCGAGGTTTTGCGATTAGGGCACAACTTTACGCCTGCAGTCCTTTTCGCCCAGTAAGTCATTCTATGCGCTTACACTATCCAATTTAGCTCATCAGTCTATTAGTATGTATTATCACTTCGCCATTTTGCTTCTTTTTCGGCCGCTCATCAAGCTACGAATTATTGGTTCCGGCATACTTCCTCGCGATGTCTGTGCACAAGCCGCTGATGCCATCCAAGGCCTACTTCGTTCATACTCCCAACTCTATACGCTTTGTCGTACACCGTCATTTGTCCCATACTTTGTACTTACATCCTCTATAATGCATCTTGCCGTAGGTGCCGAGGCATCTAAGGCGCCATCCACCTCGCCAGCGGAAATGTCGAATCCCTCGACAGTGAAGCCTGAAGAGACCGAGACCGAGCATGGCCGTAGGCGGTTGTCTTCTAGCAATAGAGATGAACAAGAACCGGCCTCACCCTCGAGCACGATCACTGCAAAATTGAGCCCTAGGGTAGCTGAAGCTCTAAACCAAGGCATAGCACACTTAACTGAGATGGCACCATGTCATCATTTTGCTCATCAAGCACTAAACATTTTACAATTCCTTGCAAAAAAGTGGGGGATTGAGGTAGATATACCGCCCAACACGGATATATCAGGGGAAATTGACAACTCAGTTCGACCGACAACTAGCAGCCTGAATTTCTTTGCACCTAACGTCAGCGAAGACGACTTCCTTTGTTCTTGGAGCACGCGAGATATTGGCGGTCCTGGAGGCGCACAAGGAAGGCACGGTTCACCCACGCCGCAAACACATTTCAACCGCGGGGAGAAAATGGAGGGCATCATAGAGGATAGTCAAGATAAGAGGGCGTCCGAACAAGATCAAATGTCTAGTTTTAGACCTAGAGACGGCACCGGGCCGGTGGCGCATGCCGCCAAAAGCCTGGAGAATCCGTTGTTTTGGCCATTTCCTATGCAGGGTCGTCCAATGCTACCAGAGGGTAAACAGCTCGAAGATGCTGGATTTCGCCCTCTGTAGGTAGCTTGGAAAGAAAATTCTAACGCGACCTAGAAGCTGCTAGAAACATAAATAAGCTCCTAGGCTAGCTATATCACTTCAACTTACATCGCTGACCTCCGGGGTAAGAAGAGTTTGCGATAGATACACCTGATATCACCAACATTTAGACATCGAGCCCCAAGTCTCCAGGTATCCCGACCTAGAGACAGTAGCATTCGGTATATACTAAGTGAGATACCGTCGACAGTTGAGCGGAGGAAAGGATAATATTTCGTGGTACGATAAGGGCTTTAGGATTTGATGTGACAGGATCGGTAAAAATGTATGATGATGACGATGATGGAAAAGGTTTAAGATGCAAGTAGATGATACCCCTGACATACGAAGGCGCTTGTCTTGAACCTAACCCTACAAAATGAGCTCGTAGCTTGGGAACCCCTCTCTGGATCGCGTTTAGATAGGTGACGACGAATTGGTTCTTAGAACAAAAAAAAAGGCATTAATCGAAAGTTATGTCATAAATATCCATCTTAACTGTCTAGCCTTGACAGAATATGCCCATAGTAACCGGCCAGACGCCAACTATCTCTACTCAAATCCCCTTTGCTCATGTGGAAACTCGAATTGAAGAAACCCTTAACGCCGACTCCTGCTCTTCCTACATAAGATGCAATCATTCCCTATGCTCAAGTCACCGAAATCTGCGGCAGAATCCGCCGTAGCCCATACTTAATACCAGGTGATTCGTTCGCGATAGTGGCCTTTTATGGCATATGGATAGTTTCAACTTGAGCAGTTGCTGCCTGAATCGGGTTGTTATACCGATTGTAAGTTAAGAATATCATTTTGTCAATTATCCAACTAGAATGTTCAAATGGTAGATCTAGAAAACATCTGTCGACTGGGAAATAGAACTCGGTCCAGGGGGTCACGACCGTATCATCTAGATTCGATCCAGCTGAGTAATTGGGAAGAATTATGTCAAAATTATGGGAAGGGTCTAAGTCAAGTTTGAGATTATTCTCGGGGTTAATAATTCAGGTGCCTATTTGTCGTTAGATCCCACTGGCCCCAACTTCGGCTTTTCAGCTGACTGGATATATTAGTCCCTGGGAAGCTGGGTTATGAAATACCATCCAAGTATCCTACGCAAAGGGGAGACTAGCCGGATAAGATAAATAAAGATACTAGGGATATATATGCTATGATACACTAGGTACAGTAAGAAGCCAATAATTACTATTTAGGAATATAATTAAACTTCTTGAATAGCCGCGAGACGGGTTCGGGTAGAAGAACAAGGGGGTTTCGACCCTCTGGAAAGGCCATGTTCCTTTTTTTTTTCTTTCTTTCTGTCTCCGCTCGGGCATAGTCTAACGGGTCTCCGGGCCGTGTCCGCTACCACGTAATGTCTACATGTATGCTCAGTTATACGCCGTTTCGCCTAATATCTGATATATTCGAGACTCGGGGGAACTCGTGATGTTTCAAGACATCGTCGAACTACTGTTATGTATTTAGTAATATGTACGAGACCTTATTAGATTACGTATGGCTCAACAATTAGTCCTGATCTTTTTGTGCCGTCGCTAGCATCAAAAGTCCGGGTTTATTTCGATGCCTAGGATGGATTGGATCTTCACTGCCCAGTCCTTGGGATGGACTTTATCAGCCAATCGCAACTAATAAACCCCAGTCAAGATGATCTCACCAAATCCCGTAAGATCTAAATACAGCTTTACGATTGGCTGAAGTATCTTTAATGCGACTGGCCCAGAATACTTCGCGCCGGCTGCCAAATAGAGTAAATGCTCAAGCGGCTTCGTCGCAGGTAGTTTTTGATGTTGTAAGATTTAGAACTTGAGGCTAAGGTCGATCCCTTTGCACTGAGCCATGCAAAGATTATGTCTTGTTGCTTGTTACGCCGTGTTCTAGATGATTACATAAACTGGAAAATCATTACTACTTTCGTCGGTTATGTTCTTGGACTGGGGCTTCTTTTATTCTTCGACACTATACATACACCTCCTGTGCTGGTCAACCCTCTACCGATCCTATATGTTAGTATAGACCTGTATGACTTCTCAGCCCTATATTCCCCCATAGAGTAAACTCTATTTCGTGGGAAGCTTTCCTACTCCTATGCTAAGAATGGAATGGCGGGATTTATTAGATCATGACATCCTAGCAAGGGTCATGTTCGACCCGCACCGGTAACATGAGAGCAAAGCTACACAGCTCACATCCCGATACAGAGTAGGTGATAAGTGATGCTTAGAATAACCCTTGATCATAATGAATAGATCATGTTTCTTGATAGTTTTATTTAAACAATGCCGAAACATGCCTCAGGAAGTTGCCTCCTTAAAAGGCCTCATCTGCCGACTATGGAATCCAAAATCACTAACTCATCTTGGAAGCCATCTCATCAGTAGTACATCTTTTCTTTCATACCATTCTTTTAGCTACGTACGGTCCTTTCAGGAGAAATGCCAAGCTCTCCTTTGGCAATAAGAATTGCCATCATAGGCGGGGGGCTGGCTGGCGCCGCACTTTTGCGCGGGCTTCTGCGGCATCCTCACCTTACTGTTGATATGTATGAATCACGGCCTACGTTTAGAGACGAGGGACCGGGGCTCTCTTTCACATCGAGAGCACAAGGTATTCTAACTGCTATCGATCCGGAGTTAGAATACTGCCTCGACCGTGCCGGTGCCGTATCCGCTACGACTGAGATACGGGTGGCTGCTGGTCCTCATGTTGGAAGGGAGATCGAGATAAACGGATTCGGGGAAAGCTGCAAGAAGTATGTCAGCCGTCAAGCTTTTCTAGCGGAGATGCTTAATCATGTACCGCCGCATATGATGCACCCCGGTACGCGGATAGCATCTGTCACGGAACTGCCGTCAGAGCAAGGACTATTACTCGCCTTTGCGGATGGGTCAACAAAGAAATACGACATCGTAATCGGTGCGGACGGCACTCATGGCTTCACGCGACAGCTTGTTCTTGGTACCGATGAATCTCTAGTCAAACCGCATTCTACAGGGTTTTGGGGATTGCCTATCAGAGTACCTCTTCAGAGGGCACAGCAGCTAATGGGCACACGGTCTCTTGACCCAAGCAACCCCCGCCACGTATGTTGGATTGGAGATGGAACTACTATCATCTATGATTTGCTCGATAATGGCAACGAAGTCCAGATCATTGTGTTCGGTAAAGCGGATGATACTGGGGAGGAAGATGGGCTTTCAGAACCGTCATGGGCAAAGCTTTTCACCCCAGACGAGTTTCGGGAGGTGTTTTCAAGCAATAGTATACCGGTCTGTCAGGGTACGATTGATGTAAGCGAAATTTATCCCGCGAGGAGATCTGCGTGTCAACTAACATCCTTTCAGCTTATCCTGAGCGTATATACTGTGCAGGTAGCCGCTCTTTGCTTGCTCGAACACCACCCGGCACCAACTTACGTGGCTGAGAATATCTGCCTAATCGGAGACTCTGCCCATAGCATGTTGCCATTCCAGGGCGCCAGCATAAGCCTTTCTATCGAGGAGGCTTTGCTCCTTAGCACACTGCTCGGCCGATTGTCGTCGAAAGCCGCCATTCCGGCTGCGCTCCGGGCTTTTGACCAGTTATGCCGGCCCCGAGCCGAACAGGCTACGCGGTTGAGTGCAGAGACAGGATTGCTTATCGCGGGTCGCGCACCGGGGATAGGGCTCAATGCAGATCTGCTTCAGCATCACTTGCGGCACAAGTTTGAGTTTCTTTTAAATGTTGATATCGAAGCACACCGGACTGCTGCTGTTAGTATTATGGATCAGTTATTGGGGGTTGGAGCAGCATGGCCTTGATGAGTGTTGGCATACCATGATTACTTGGGTCGGGCTTTCGCGCCCCTTTCCGCATTTACCATTTGTTTTCGTGGATTTCTTTTCTTGGGTTTCTTTTATTTTCACGGTTCAACCACGTGGATGTGAGTACATATAATTTCATACCGGATATTGTGCATGGCAATCGGCTAGGTAACTAAGCTGTAGGCTGGAGGCGTATATATGTAAATATGGGCATTTACAGAGTATGAAGTTTATGTATCAGAGGGTCTATTGCATTATAAATCTATGGCTCCTACTTATATAACCGCTATGTTTAGCTATTTCTTGCTTCTTCTGAGATAATCGAAGCACGGTGGCTTTTAACACCATGATAATAAATGCTTGACTTAACCGCGACTTGTCAGATATTCTATCCGGCTAATAATTGACCAAATATATGGTATGATTTCCTATGGCTGTCGAAATTGATCACAACCCAAACGGTTAACAATCTTGAAAACCCTGATACTATTTTTATACTTCCTTATCGACACTGAAAAGCAACAGCGACGTGAAAAGGGAAATTACTCTTAGGTGCTTAGAGATCATAATTAAGACCTGGGTATATGCATCCGGTAGTTATGGGAAAATAGCCATAGGCCAATGAACAGTTCTCTAGGTTACATCTGCTTATATCCTGAGAACTAGAGCCAGGATTGGAGTGGCTGGTGTCATATTAACAATCAATGTAGATTACTGCCATATAGTGATATTAGAGAGCACAAAGCCGGCATGTGTTTATGAAGTATTAAGAAAATCTTAGTTTATTATGGCCTATGTTTCAACAACGTGGTTCGCATTAGGTGTCTACCTGAGTATGCTTGTTCATCTTCCCCTCATAGAAAGCGACCCATCGCATCTTTTGGTTCGCTTGGACGAGTCACGATGTTTTGGTCTACACTACTGTCCTTTGCGGCGCTCGTTGATGCGGCGCCGCAGGTAACTCCAGTAAAAGGACCCGGGGCCAATAGCCTTGTTCGATTCGGATGTTCCCAGGTTGTCATTGAGCGTCTTGACCCGTAAGATATGAGTTCTTTAATATCAGCTCCATGAATAACGACTGATTCCTTTTGCTCTAGCCTCGTAAACCCAGGAGTGAATCCATCTCCGCACCTTCACCAGGTACGGTTCTCAGAACCTCCTTGAAAACTGTTCTTAGCTTACTCTCTCATAGATTGTTGGAGGAGTAAGTTACTTAATACTGCCTTCCAGTATACTTTACTCAACTCTCGTAGAATGCTTTTAATGCTTCAATTCCTTCCACCGATGTGTCATCCCTCGCTACCTGTACGACGTGCAGCTTTAGCGACGACTTTTCGAACTATTGGACGGCAAATGTTTACTTCAAGTCGCGAAACGGTACTTACAAGCGAGTGCCCCAAATCCCAAATAGGTTTTTGGAGGGATCTCAAGGTGGCGTTACGGTCTATTATCTTTCGCCTGGCAAGAAGACTGTCACTGCATTTAAACCAGTAGGGTCAATGGAAAGTTAATATACTTTTGGGAAGAACTAACTCTCATAACTAGGGGTTCCGTATGCTTGTCGGGGACTCTATGCGACGCGAGAAGAAAGGATCAGGTTTAAAGTCTCAGAGCTGTTTTCGTTGTTTCACAGGCCCCGACTTCAAGGGTGATGATTATTCACCTTGTGCTGATCCAAAATTGGACACCGAGACTTTCCCCTCGACGCCGTGCTTGGGCGGTATTAGATCTAATATCCACTTTCCAACGTAAGGTTACCTATCTTACTCATCTAAACATGGCGAGTGGAAACTAATAGTGAATATAGCTGCTGGGATGGAGAGCGTCTAGATAGCCCGAACCATCAGGACCACGTAGCCTACCCCGTTGGAGGTCCCTCGTCATTCGCTACTACTGGAGATTGCCCATCGACTCACCCTATCAAGATTCCACAGCTGATGCTCGAGGTATGTAACCCATACCCCTTTTCTCATAAGAAATTAAGATTACCAGGCTCAATATCATATGATAAGACTGGTAATACTTAAGGATACATACCTAAGCTAAGCTAAATTATCCATAGATTGTCTGGGACACAACCGCGTTTAACAGTCCAGATGACTGGCCAGAAGATGGATCCCAACCGTTCGTCTTGAGCACAGGAGACAAGTAATTCACTCCATGAAATCCGCGTATGTAGCCAAGATACTAACATTGAGCCAGTACTGGATACGGTCAACACGCTGATTATGTATTTGGATGGAAAGACGACGCACTCCAGAGACTAATGGATGGAGCTTGCTTCGGCAACACTTGCGAGGGAGTTAAGACACAGGACTTTGGTGAAGCAAACAAATGCTCTGTTCTAAACACTGTCGATGAGGTTACTGAAGGATGTAAGTTGAGTTATCTATACTACCTACCTACCTACCTATTGAATCTATTGCTAATCAGTGAGTAGGGCTTGAGCAGCTCCCGGGAGATGGAAGCGGGGCTTAATATTATCAAGAGGATGCCTGACATAATTAGTTGAGGGAGAGTGTCGAACACTAGGACACATTGTAGTCGATAACCTACAAACGCTCGCTTGGGGTCTTTCTATTAGTTGATTCGAAGGTATCTGATCATGGAAATTATTATGCAGTAACCATACGCACTAAGATTTCGATACAAGCATATCAAAACAGTGTACATTACGACATGTTCAATGCCAATGACCAGAAATACGAAACGTTTCTTTCGAAATCAATCAATGGCATCCTTCTACCCGGGCTATTGCACACCTGTCCCTGATAGTCGTACCGTATCATGCGACGATAATTTTCTGCAAGAATCAAGTGTGATGTATGGAATATCTATAATACGATTTGTATTAGATTACGTACGCCATAATCTTCTGATTACCTGAGCTTTCTTGATAGCAAGAAAGAGAGGCGGTTGGTATATGTAACAATAAGCAAAATTACGTTGTGATTATTATTCATCAGCAGACGCCTCTATGTTAGACAGCCTCTATTGGTGAGGGAAGGAAACTGTATGTGACAGGAATCGTAAACGGAATATTTGCCGAGTTGAAAGTTATGTAGCTGCGTCTGCAGCGTCTAGCTAAAGGGCATCCGATGTGTCCAGAAACTCTAGATCCTACTAGCTAGGCAATATTTCCTATCCTGATAGCTAACATATCTACACGTGTGCCTCTCTAGCTGCGAAATCATCTTACACTAAAGTATTGCCGTGATGCCTTCATGTCATGTCGAGCAAGGTTCCCCGCAATCGAGTACTCTGACAATCCCAAAGTTCCCCCGGCCCAACAGCCCAAAGTCTAACCCGATATAGTAAAGCCCATTGTCCGGATTTGCTCTAGCGCCCTTTGGGCTCAACTTACAAAATGAAATATTATAAATTATATGGACCACGGACCAAGTCACGTGCTGATATGATAATGGATAAGATAAGTAAAATCATATATGAAGTTATTCTTACTTCGCATCATATATGCATATAGATATTACATTTAGCTATTACATTAAAATGGCCTATTGCCTCCTGTTTCCTTACTATTTCGTTGATAAAATGCCTTATATTTTGAAATTGAATTGAGTTGAATTCAATTCAATTGAATCATCGTGTGGAGCTTTGAAATTTAACCAATCAAATCTCATCGAGTTTATTCGAAAAGTTATGGCCTATACTTTACTATATTAGGTTAGACTTTGGGTTGTTGGGCCGGGGGAACTTTGGGATTGTCTGTAGACTCCCCGCAATCTACACCAAACAGGTATGCATGATGGTGGGTTAGATCCATGCGCCCCAGTCCCTGGAGCTGATCCCGTTAACAATACCCCAATATATCAAGGGGTGTTTATTTTAATGATTTAGAGATACCCTGCCATTGCCTGCCGCGTAGTGGTTATAATCAGCGGTATCCGCACCTGAAGCGAACCCATCACCTTACCTCTGATACTCATAATCCCGTACATGACCCTTTCAAAATGGGTCTAGGTGTACTTGAAGATAAGCATCTATCGCATGTCCCCGGCACCGCCCTCCTTACGGACGTTGACGGGGCAGAAGATGTCCATCATCATGGCCGGCTCAACACATCGAATCTACTTCACGGAAAAGGCAGGGACTCTGATGTTCTGTTGGTGCCCCAGCCTAGTAATAGTCCGAATGATCCCCTTAACTGGCCTCTATGGAAGAAGGATCTTATGCTGCTCTTTATCTGCATTGATACTGCAGTAGTAGGGGCATGGGTGAGTGGCTATCTTTTAATGTTGATACACCCCTGAATATCTCGGATAAATCCTCTGTATAGGACTATATATTACGAATAAACTAATTGAAATGATCCTTCACAGGGTCCTATGATCTAACCCGGTTATGCCCAGATGGCTACCCAATTTGGGATGTCTTATAATCGACTTAACGGTGATCTCGGATATGGCGTACTAGTCATAGGGCTGTCATGCTTCTTCACGAATTCTATGGCTGTGGTTTGGGGACGTAGGCCGATATTTCTTCTTGGAAACCTGCTGCTATTCATTAGTAGCATCGGAGGGTATTACGCGCATACTTTTGACAGCCTACTTGGATTTCGACTTATAGGTTGTATCGGCATGTCTCCGTTTGAAGTGTAGGTACCCAACCTCCGACTTTTCAAAAGATGAAGTATGCAATAATATGTAGCTAATTATTTCTTATTCTTTTTTTATAGCTTGGTTACTACTACGATAGCAGACATTTACTTCGTACATCAGCGTGGAGTCAGACTCGCAGCTTGGGGTCTCTGCCTATCTATTGGTGTCGGAGGAGGCACAATCATCTCTGGTTATATTATCGAAGACCTAGGCTGGAACTGGACCTACGGTATCTGTGCGATTATATTCGGCGTCTGGATAGTGGTACTATTCCTGTTTTGCCCCGAGACAGCATACAGACGGGATGAGTCCCTTAATACCGATCTCGGGATAGTACCTGGAATTGATCAACAAGCAGAGCAGCCTGCGCAGAACGAAAGCTCAAAGGTGAAAGCAGATAGCAGATCATCCGGACCTGAAAATATCGAGGTCCAGGTCGAGATTATAGAACATGGAACTACAGATCTCTCCTGGCCAGAGAAAAAGTATAGCTATTGGCAAGATTTGAGGATCTTCCACGGGAGAGTGTGTGACGACCCATTCTGGAAGGTTCTTACTCGGCCGCTGCTCATGCTTATATTCCCACAAGTATTGTTCTCTTTTTTTGCCTACGGGCTTACAACCTCCTGGCTGGTTGTCGTGGGTAGCGTTTTGGCCCAGCTCTTTACGGCCCCTCCGTACAATTTCAGTGTCTCGGGCGTCGGGCTTGTCTCCGTTGCTTCCTTGATTGGTGCGATCGTGGGAGCCTTCATATCGGGACCTATAGCAGACTGGATAATCAAATCAATGTCTCGAAAAAACGGTGGCATATACGAACCCGAGTTCCGACTTGTGCTCATTGTGATTACCTTCGTCTTAGGAGGTATGTCGTTCTTCGGCTTCGGTTGGTCGCTCCAGCAACAAGACCCGTGGATTGCCCCGGTGATTTTCTATGGGTTACAGTATTTCAGCGTGGGATTTTTGACTATTGCTGTATATGGCTACTTGACGGACTGCCATCGTGACAAGGCCCCAGAAGCGTTTGCAGCTATCAATTTAAGGAATATTTACTCTTTCGGGATGAACTACTTCATATCAGATTGGATAAGTAGTCAGGGGCCGAAGGAGGTATTTTGTATAATTGGCGGAATACACGTTTTCATCTGCCTATGTGCGGTCCCGATGTATATCTTTGGGAAGAGATGCAGGAGTTGGACAAGCAGAGTAGAGGTGTTTGAGAAGGTCATGAAAGCATAGGGATTCTGCCAGTGAGAATGTATGGGTAATCCAGGAACGACTATATACTCATACGAGGGAGGGGAGGAATATTTGAGTATCACGTCAACGGAATACCTGGGCGTAAATCATATATACCGCTAAAATTTTCGTAGCTAGCTTATATAACTTATGAAGTTAAGCAGCAACTATACTCGATTATGAAGCACTTAACTCAGATTCAAGGGCATCAGCCATATCTCCTAATGTGCTGAACTTCCAGTCATATATTTCCTTCTCCCTATTGCCCATGATGGCGCTTGGTCTCACAATCCAAGCCGATTTTATTCCCATAGCTCGTGCAGGGTGATGGTCATGGAACTGGCTTTGTGCGGTCTGTATGACCTGCCCTTTGTCGATCCCGAACTTTTCCTCGACTTCTTTCAGCATATACTCGAAATTTCGAGGATTTGGCTTATATGAACCGATGTCCTGAGCCGTGATGATGAGATCAAAGGGGAATCCATGTAACGGGCCGGTGTTGGTTATGCCAAAGGAGACACGGTCGATATTAGAGAGGACTACCAGTTTATACTGTTTAGATAGTCGACGAAGGGCATCGACAGTATCTGGGAAAGCTGGCCAGTCAGCTACTGAATTGCCAAAAGCTCGTGACTCTTCGGCCGTTGGTAGTGCCAGGCCTAGCTTAGTGGCGAGCTGATGGTGTATAGTGGTGAGGAGCTGGGAATACGGCATATTAGGAGTTTCCTGTTGGTGTTTGACTTCGCATTCATAGTAGGCCTCTAGCACCTTAAGGCGGGGAATATCTGTGCGATTATTGGAAGCGAGGAAAGGCTCTAGGGCTGATAGTATACCAGTTTCATAGTCTATCAAAGTGCCATAGACGTCAAAGGAGAGAAGTCGGTAGTCTTTTAAATTTGCCATCGCTCTTAGTCGATCTTTTCGTAATTTGAGTGATAAGTCAGGTAGGTAAGTTAGTCCGTCACTTATATATAGGAGGTGATCCCATGCTACATGTTCTAATATATTGCCTACCTTAAGCGCCGAAGTAGGCAGACTCTTATATTAGGTGCTCATATAATAATCATAAAGTAGGCATTTTATTAATCTAATGTTGGGTTTAGGGGTGATATTAAAAAGAGTGACTAGAAAGGCGCGCCTTTAAAGGAAATCTTCAATCTTTTATCAGGTTATGTAGGTAGTTAGCGGGGTTACAGGTTACACGGTACCTATCAGCGTGCATAAATGTACCCCGAAAGATCTACCTATGTAAGTAAGGGGTATCTACCTAGGTACCTCCTAACATTAGGTTAGGTACCTCCTTCATGTTTCATTCCACATGCTGCACACATCCATCTTCAATGCATCCATCACTAATACATTTACCGTCAACATTTTCTGCAATATGTAATATTATATTATGCTCATTGAGTTAGTAATTCCTAACTGGATAATTGGCCGTCCTCCATTGCCCTTTTACCGCGCAACGGAGATACCTTGCTATACAAATAATTCGTGATTCGTCATGAAGGGAACGAGATACTCTACTTCCCGACAAAAGGCTTGTCAGCCATGCTCTACTGCAAAGGCAAAATGTGATCGCAAGGCGAGATGCTGTACCAGATGCGCCTTACGAGGCCTATCTTGTTCTTATCCGCAGACCTTACTTTCTAGAGCCTCCTCACGGGACGTAGGCGATAATGTAGGCGATAATATAGGCGACAGCACTGAAGCCGGCTTATACAACTCCATTTCCGACCCCAGAATTCTATCCGCAGCAAGCCCCGGGCCTGAGATACCAACTAGACCGGGCACTCAAAGTCTAAATTCTCAGAGTCCAACTTCTCAGAGTCTAGCTGTTGGGTTAACACAGGCCTCTGGTAGCATGAGCCCAACTAACACTTCCTCGGCTACATTCGTTACAAGTCACACCCTGGATGAGTCGATATTAAACATCACCGGCCGTGCATCTGGGAGTTCCGAAGTACTTGACTTTTCAAGCCTGGAACTATTCAGTCCTATTGATGTAGATGGTATTAGCAATCGTTGGCTGAACACCTATATCCCCATTCCCGGCCAAAAGGTTAAAGAATATCCCGCTACCATTACGGCTTTTATCTATAGACTTCTTAAGTCTTATGCAACCGTTGCCGTACGCGGCCGCAGTGTGCCCCCGTTTGTACACCATTCCCAAATTTCGGTCACATCGACAAGACCGCCGCTTTCTACCTGCTTAAGTTTGGTTCGCATCTGCGAGAATCCGTTGCCAGGCAGTGAGAGTGTTGCCGCCGATGTATTACAACGGGAGATGAACAATATTTACGAGCAACAGGGCACATACGATGATTTCACTCTATTAGCGGCTTTCCAGGCATATCTGATCTACTCCATGGTCTTGTTCTTCAAGCTTAACCAAGTTTCAGGCCCCTTCCTTCGACAAGCGATAATGAATCTCCAAGACCTTGCGTGTTCGAGTAGCCGGAGCGGGCTTGTGTGCATAGCCGAACAACAGCGTGCTCGGCCTCGGTGGGAAGCTTGGATTGTAGCCGAGGCAAAGCGGCGGGCATTGTTCACGATGTACCTTTTCGACAGTGTTCTTTCCACTCAAGATGGTCTTCAAACCTTTCTCGGCACTGAACTGCAAGGACTACCCGCCTCAGCAGACAAATCTTTATGGAGGGCACAGATTCGACGCGACTGGGAAATAGCATATAACATGTACTTAGCAGATTGGCCAAAGGAAACATTTCGCATTGACGAACTCTGGCCGATTGCTGCAGGGCTAGACGAGCCTAGTCTTCTCGAGAGACGCAATAGAGTAGACCGATGGTTAGAAAATGTCGATGAATTTGGCACAATGCTCTATGCAGTAACTAGTTGCACACACGGCGGTTGACCTTACTATTACTGCCCTAAGTAATATGCATATATTCTATATCCAATATCACAGTCTTGGTCAATAATAGGAACATATGACGACAGCCTAACTAAGATTGCTCCAATCCCCTCAAAACCTCGCTGATGGATATTACCCTCAAGTTCATTTTCGGCAAAAGGCCCCCTAGCAAAACCTGAGAATATTTTTGATACTGGTCCAGCGGCAACTCTAACACGTTGTCCGAGATAACGTAAATATTATAATCCAGGTCAAACAATCGATAAACCGTGCTCATTACGACCCCAGAGAGGCTCAGACCAGACTATAGAAGTTCTTGTTAATCCGCGTGAAAAAGAAAAGAAAAAAAGAAAGAAAGAAAGGCCTAGGTCACATACTATGATGATAGTGTCAATATTTCGTGCCTTCAAAATTTGCTCCAGGCTGTTTCCTGAGCCGGCATACCACCTTGTTTTCTGAAGTACGACATCTTTGCTATCGACCTCAAAGTTGGATGCTATCTGCACTGCAGAAGATCCAGCAGCGAAAGAACCGAACTCTCGGATGAGCTTTTCGAATGGAGCGTCTTGTGCTAGCTCAAGCTCTCCTGGTTTAAAGAAGAGAGTCGTAAATATGGTCGGGGGGCGTATGTCTTTCTTGTGAACGGCGGCATTCCAACGCTCACAGCTAGAAATAAATGCTCGTCCTTCGATAGTGTTCTTGACGGCATCTATGAGAACCGTCATCAAGTCAAGGTTGAGTACAGCGTAATTCTTGCCGAAGTTCAAACCGCCCTCGGGAGGATGTTGGTCAGGCGCCATTGTTAAAGATGGCTGTAGGTCACAGGGACAGTCGGCTGAGTAATTGCAAAGGCAAGTATATCCTCCATCGCATCTAATTGTGATTGTATTATTCGCTTCGGATCCAGGGGCTGTCCAGCTCAAGCCCGGGGGACCGGCGGAGTTTCGGATGGAGCGAGCTATGATTGGTTGTTAATCCGGCCCTCAAGTCTCAACTCCGTACACTGCCGGTGCTCAACTCCACTCAGAATTGAATATATGAAAGACATTCCAATCCGTGGTCATTAACAACATCTCACCACTACAATTGGAACTCTGAGTAGTAAGAACGGCAATAGATCATGGCATCTGAAGAACGGCAGGGAGTGTCACAGAATACGCCACTGGCGTCACCACCCCCGGAAGAGCCATACAGCATCTTCGACAAGCGGCAGAAAGCTCTAATCGTGCTTGTTGTTTCGACTGCAGCAACCTGTAAGTGAACGATCAGTAACACCATCATAATCTTGACGAGCTCACACGAACCAGTTTCCGGGTTTGCGTCAAATATTTATTTTCCCGCACTTCCTACCATTGCCCGTGACCTGGATATTTCGATAGAGCTTGTCAACCTTACAGTAACGTCATATCTTATTTTCCAAGGTTTAGCACCCAGCCTCTGGGGCCCCATCTCGGACGTCAAGGGACGCAAAATTGCATACGTCTTTACTTTTCTAGTGTTTCTTGGCGCATGTATCGGCTTAGCAGAGACGAAGAGCTACGCGACCCTTATAGTGCTAAGATGTTTGCAAAGTACCGGCAGCGCAAGTACTATTGCAATCGGATCCGGTGTGATTGGCGATATTACCACTCGCGCTGAACGCGGTGGCTTCATGGGAACTTTTCAGGCCGGGTTGCTCGTTCCCGTTGCAGTCGGGCCAGTTATCGGAGGTGCTCTAGCAGGATCGTTAGGATGGAGATCAATCTTCGTATTTCTGGCAATCTACAGTGGCGTCTTCCTAATACTGTTGATCGTTCTTCTTCCCGAAACACTGAGGTCGATTGTTGCAAACGGTAGCAGGAAGCCGTCGAATCTAATTGTTACATATCCCTTACGAACTTACCAAAAACTCACCAAAGTAAGATGGGATCCTGAAGCAGTTTCGTCAGAGCCTGCAGCAAGAAAGCATATCGATATCATGGGGCCATTACGCATTCTAATCAGTAGACATGCAGCGCCTATTATCATATTCCTTGCCGTATATTACGCTGTTTGGCAGATGAGCATCACCGCCATGTCATCTCTCTTTCAAGATCGCTACGGCCTGGGTGAGACCCAGATCGGCCTGACGTTTATTGCAAATGGGGCGGGGTCTATGATCGGAACGCTTGTCATGGGCAAGGTTCTAGACACCGACTATCGTCGAGTCAAGGCTCAACATGAAGCTCAATTCACTGAACCCGATTCTGAAATAGGCAATGGACAAATACGGTCCACGGCATATATGGAAGACCACTTCCCTCTTGAAAAGGCGCGCCTCCGGCTCATACCCATCTTCTCCCTAGCTCAGTGCCTGTCCATCGTTCTCTTTGGCTGGACCATTCAGTATCCCGATCGCGTCCATATCGCTGTCCCCATCATTTCCACTTTCATCACTGGTTGGACTGCCGTATCTACGCAGTCTGTGGTGATGACTTACCTCATCGACATCTTCTCCGACCGTAGCGCCGCTGCCAGCGCAAGTTTGAACCTTGCCAGATGCTTGTTCGCGGCTGGCGGGACAAGCTTTATAATGCCCATGGTAAACGGCATTGGTGTCGGCTTGGCATTCACGATATGTGCTATCGTTCAGGTTGTTGCGCTATCGGGCGTGGCCATCCAGTGGAAATTCGCTGCTTCATGGAGACAGGAGAAAAACGAGACAATATGAGGGTAAACTTTAGAAAAGGAACCGCGCTATGATATTAGTAATAACATAATATGAGGTACTCTCTAATTCCTTCTATCATGTCTTCTCTATTACATCGTAAATTGTAAGAAAATAATTTACAGTACATTCAATGCACATCCTATTTGAATCAGGCATTATTTCATACTTTGTTCATGGTGGTGATAGAGATATCTTTCCATGAGTACGAGTCACTACCTTGCTCGCGTATCGTAGATACTTCGACCCCCCACAACTGAATTAAACGGCAAGGATTGATTAGGATACAAATCGCCTAGCTAAGAACTTCGATATCGACTTTTCGGAATAAGGGGTAATTTCACCTCCTATGAGTCAATATTGCGCGGCTCGGAGTTATCAAATCGGCTAGGTGGTGGTATTTGGTTGCATGTCTGTTCGTAGGATAGAGTTCCTATCATATCTCAAGGTCGTGACCGTGATAGTACAGTACATAGCATTGCTAGCCAAACGTCGTAAGTGATGATCTCCTTCTTTCCCCTATCTTCATTCGTTCATTTCCCGCTTGGCCTTTACTATCCTCTCATATGAACCATACGCGAGTATTCCACCCACTGGCCTAACCATGCCGAAGGTGCCTGCAAGGTTGCATTGCGTCTTTCTCTCCTATTATTAGGATCCTAGACATCCCGACTTATCAGGCTTTGCCGTACTTTCACCCACATTTGCCAGCGACAAAACCCGCACGGCTCAGCCGAAATCCTAGCCCGCCTCTCTTGATACAGGCCGCTGGAACATTTGCTGTAGGGTACAGTGGAGTTGCTTATCGCGCGACTAGTATCCATGGCTTCTTCACAAGCCCGTTGGTAGATGGCCTGACCAGTTAAAATCCTCCAGCACGAGGGACAAGTTGCATAGAGAATTAAATCTGTGCACATCTTGTCTGATGTCCGAGGTTCGTGCAATGACTTTGATAGTCCAGTTCGATGTCACAATGGGTGACAACAATAACCAGAGTGTATGCTGCTGAATTTTTGCTCCGCCCGTAGCAGGGTCTTGATACAGGAGAAACTTTGTTCGATATGTAGAAAGTTAAGAGAGGCGTAATTGTTCTATTTTAGGCGGGCTCGCTGACCCCAAGAGCTTGCAAGGGCGAACATTAAAGGAGGGGGACGTGTTATGTGACATGAAGAAGAAGTCTTAGAACTGGATAAAGCTAATTTTCACCAAGCCATAATCGTGAAAGAATAGTATGAGAAGATGATAGATGAGTTGTTAATTGGCCTCGAGTATGCAACGGATTTGGAGGGATGAAGAAAATATAGAAACAGAAAAATCAGGAAGCAAACAAACCTGTAATTATGTTTTGTTACCTATCGAACCGCCACGAATCACCGCAGCAGCACTGTCGACGATAGATGCGTATATGGTGACGATGCACCATCCTCCAGAATGAAACTTGTTCACAAACATCGTACCATATTATTCCTACGTCCCATCGGAAATAAGTAGATTAAATTTTGTCACAACCGGGCTCGATAGAAGTCAGGGCTACGCACATTTGATTCTTGAAGAGTCCTAATTCCGGATAATCGCTAATGTCGATGCTGCTCAATATGCAAAAACATATATACACATACCTGAAATTATTTGGTCAATGACCTACAGCGACGTAGATATTGTCATAGACGGTAGCAAGCCAGCCCTCGGCGGGTCCAGCCCTTGCCACGATCCCAAGGCCCCCAGCAGCCCAAAGCGCCGCGAGTGAGAGGGAGACGGCCTGGATACCCCACCAAGCGCGCCGTCGCCTCTTTCGTAGCTGCTTATCAAAAGTTATCTTCTTCCAGTTGGCAGGCGGCGTGAGATTTAACCACTTAGCCCAGCCCCAAACCATATGACCTACCCCAACGGATAGTAGTAGCGAATATGCTATCCAGGGCGGTAGCGGGTGTCGAGCGAAGCCATGTGATACAAACTGCAGCCCAATGTTGGAGCTATCACCATCAACAACGAGGGGCAAGATACGGTTCATGCCTACATGCGAGGCAAGAAGTCCAACGAATATATACCCAGAAACCGAAATGTAAGTTAAGGGCGGCCATATCTTAATGCTGTGCTTCTGGTGGGGTGACTTCGAGTGATGTAGAGCCCACATACCCGGGGTCTCGCCGCCGTACCGTTTTAGGTTTTGGCGTCGGCGCAGTAGGCGTATGGCAATGCCTGATGTGACGTGGGCAACGACGGGGAGGGCGACCAGTAGAGGCTCGGTGAAGGGGGTCTGGTAGAGCTCCCGAGCCATGAGAAGAAAGGGTTCGGAGTAGGGAACAGATTGGTAAACTAGAGGGAATACGGCGGTGTTGGCGACATGGAGGCCAGCGAAGAAGGAAAATGTATAGGAAGAATAACGTTGGATTCGTGATACTGGAGGTGTGCATTTATGGTTAGTAAAGCTTTCGATCCTATTGGTCTGAGTGAAAATAACTGAAATCTTGAAATCGTACAATAATATATTGGGCCATGACCGCTGCCGCTAAGACCTAAGGCAGAAGTTGAGCTGGTCGGTGTATGTCTCGTACTATAACTCGAAGACTCTTGATCTTCCTCGGGTAGAGGTGGAAGGTCCTTTTCATAGAGGGACGCATTGTCTATAGGCGAAGGATCCAGCTGGAGCAGAGATATTAACGTCTCTTGCGAAGCCTTTGGATTTAAGGTACGATGATCGGACGCCATGAGTGGTTCAGCTTCATTCCTTGCGGTCGCGATCTTTAAATTTAAGTGTTTACCTATGGTTAAATGTATTAGGTACCTCGGTATTTCGAATTTGGGAGCTGGTGTTGAAATTGGCGTTGGTAGATTATTTTTTGAGTTGTTAAGGTTGTTGTGGCCCAAAAAAGACTTGAAGTTATTAGTCGTGGGCGAATGAGAAGGTGCTTGGGCTTAGGTACCTAGGTACCTAATAGAACATATGCTATACCTACCTAGGTATGTACATCATGTACGGCATGGCATCTGCCCCGCGATAGCTTGCTTTAGGTACATACATGTAACCTAGGTATGTACATCTATGTGAGGGCGCAGCTCATCCCAAAGTTATCCTTGACCATCAACCCAAAGTCTAACCCAATCAGGCATATATGGATCATTTTACACCATAATAGTACTAGCGCACCCAAAACTCAACTACCATTTCACTAATATTATATTTATGTAAATATATACTTTTATACAATATTATAAAACTTAATAAAATAAAAATAAATTTAATGTAATTAATTAATAATTAATTATTTTATTTTATTTTATTTTATTTTATTTCATTTTGTAAGTTAAGCCCAAAAGGCGTTAGAGCCAATCCGGACAATGGGCTTTACTATATCGGGTTAGACTTTGGGTTGATGGTCAAGGATAACTTTGGGATGAGCTGCGCCCTCGTGTAGACTCACATGTATGTACCTGGTGGTAAAGCTTGGAGCTTGCTCAACTTCTAAACTTCCCATCTACATCTTTATACACAACCAACCATAATACATGCCACTATGCCTCCTGTGAGTATGCTATTCGAGCTTCATACCTAACATCATAACTTGTAGCCAGATAACTTACAATTCGAAATATGTAGCGACACCAGACTCTCCCGCCAGCGCAGACCTCCTCAGCGCGCGCCGCTCTACAGTCCTTCTACTGCGAGCTCTGTTCTAAAGGTTACTCGCGCATGAATGACTATGAGGCTCACCTAGGCAGTTACGACCATAGCCATCGTCAGCGCATGAAGGATATGAAGCAGATGGTTAAGGATCCGACGGCGGGGGCACGCGCGAGAAAAGCCGAAGCTAAAGCAGACGGTCTCATCAGCATTAAGCTCGGCGGCGATTCTAATCCTATCGGAACTGGCGGTGGTGGCGGCGGTGGCGGTGGCGGTGGATTTAAGAAGGGAGGCTTTAAAAAGTCTGGTTTTAAGAGCGCCTTCACGCCTATCGGTGGAACGGCGGACAACGAGAATATCAAGACAAAAGAGCCGGATACGAATATGAGTGCTAATAAAGACGAGAAAGCTATACCAAAAGATTTAAGTGCTGAAAGCGATACGGAAGACGAAGGATACGAGGTTTATGATCCACGACTCCCTACGGATTGACGCGCTGCCAGGCAAATCGATACCTCGATTGATACTCAGAACGAGGTATAGCATCGCCGCTAGCTTCCACAGCGACGGAGGGTTGTTGAAGTCGTAAGACCTTAGATCTACGCGAGATTCGGATCAAAACCCAGCTATGACACGCCGTGTGATTGCAGGCAACCGTTACGGGTGTATCTGAGCAGCTCAGATGGAACAAAATGACCGATGAAGACTTCTTAGATATCATAGGCTTGAGACTCCAAGGTAATTAGGCAAGCCGCAGCGTAATATTCAGATTCGCGGCATTAGACTTAAGCCACGCGCGTATATTTTAATTGTAAGGCTACAGCCTCGTCCGAATTAATGGCACTATTACCTTGTCTACCTCCGAAAGGATCTTATTCCTACTGCTCCCCATCATGCTAAAACCTATTAACGGTATCCAATCACAATACCATCTCGCAATTTTCCTTGCCTCGCTCCTCCAGGGACCGATGGTAATGAAAACATGCGAATTCTCGAAAAGAGATGAGGTTCCAAAAATTCCCAACCCGGCCGAAGCCAAGATGGAGTGGTCAGTAAATAGTTTTCAACTAGCAAAAACACGCACTCGGATTGCTCCTCACTGTGACGCGTAAAGCCCGTGCACTAAGATGGGGAGAAAAGAGAAGGAAATTTTCAAAAGCAGCGGGAGGGACAGAATTCTTAAGTATTACGAAAGCGGTGTACGAAATCAGTCAATATTCTGCCGCATAGAGCTACATGTACTAAGTACCCCCCACCTTTCTTTCTTCAATACCTTAGTAAGGTTCTTTTTTTGTATTTGTACCTTTGTATTTTCTAGTTCTATTGTTGTTGAGACCAATCAAATAAAAGCTTTCTTTTTAGATTTGCTAAATCCATTCACTGATGTCCGGTACCTATATGTACCTATGGATAGCACATGTACTTGTACTGTCTTAGGTACGAAAGCTTGTCGCATAGGGTGCGTCGAATGTATGAAGACAGCACAAGTATTTTTTATATAACAATTCAATATAACAACATTCAAGATTGAAGTTTCTGTCGCAACAAACTTCTAAAAATTGTACTTCTTCCTTGCCTGTTTCTCGATGAGCGAAGGCCAAAGATTGTACAAGTATTGCGCAATCCCATACGGAAACCAGGGCACAACTACATTGCCTCTCACTTTTCTATCCATCGCATCGATGCATCTCTTGGCCACGTAATCTACTTTGAGACCGCGCTGGTTTGGGCCTGCTTTAACAGTTGCTGGGTCTGCATCGACGGCAGAGGCGCGGAAGTTGCCTTCGATAGTTGCCGGCAGGATGAAGGTGAAAGTAATATTCGGATGCTCAATAGCGAGCGATTGGAACAAGAGCAGTGATGAGGCCTTCGTAGCAGCATAAAGTGCCCGTGTCGGTGCTGGGATCACTGCAGCAACCGACGAGGCCAACAAAATGGATGGAGAGGTTGAGGTACGCGTTATCAAGGGGACAAATGCCACGGCCGCAACAAAGGGTCCATAGACATTTCCCTGAGTGGTTCGAGTAGCAATATCCAAAGCCTTCTGTATGTCGGCACTGTTTGCGTCGGCTTCCTCCCCTGGCTTTACGTTGGCGAGACTCATGACAGGCTGCACAGCAGAGACTCCAGCACATACGTGAAGGGAATCCAAACCACCCCATTCCGCAATTACTTTCTCTCTTACTCGCACCATATCTTCTACGTTGCTGAAGTCGGCGACAACCCAGAAGCACTTCTCTCCACACTCCTGGGTTAGTTTTGATAGCGGTTCTTCGCGCCGTGCAACGAGGCACACACGAGCATCGCGCGCTGCATACTGCTTAGCCACAGCGCGCCCAAGCCCGCTCGATGCCCCTATAATCAGAACCCGCTCCTCAGTTGGGCAAATGCTACTCTGTCTACTACGAGTAATATTCCGGGCGGCGCGCCAGACGAAGGACAGAGTGGTAGCTAAAATAGCTAGTGTTGTTGCTGTCAAGGGGGCAGATTCAAATCGTGATGGCCAACCTGACATGTTGCATAATCCCTACGATTTATACCTAGGCAGGTGAACTTCAAGGTGTAGTAACGTTGGTCAATCAAACGCCCCAAAATAAATAAATTACCTAGGTAGGTACACTCCCAGCTTAAGAGTACTAATGAATCGGCCCGGATCAGATGGGGCGGGGTTCTTGACAGCTGTTTGTCTTATTTGCATTAAGTTAAGGTAGCTAGGTTAGCTATCTCTTTACCCATTGCCACCTCCACTTCACAATCTTCACTACAATGACCCCGTTCCTCGTCTTCAATCTCCCTTAATAATTCAAGTACCTACTTATACGTAATATTCGAGGGAGACGAGCAAGAAACCCTACTGTATCCCACCATGTCCCTCCTAGCTATTCCGAACGAGTTGCTACTAAAGATAATGAAACACCTTCGAGATTCACGACATATTCAAGCCCTCCAATCTGTTGCTCGTACCTGCAAGGATCTCCGCGAAGTCGCTGAGATATACTTATATTCTACTGCTGAGTTTACCACACTATCATCTCTGTATCGCTTTCTGGATGCTGCCACCCATGCCGACGAGCCTAGTCGAAAAGGCTACCTCCGAGATCTAAAACTTCTATATTCCACTAATCATTATGACCCTTATTACAATCCGCCTTATCCTCTGGACCTCACCTTATTTCCCAATTTGGAATCATTCGTCTCGGAAAGTCCCGAATGCCAGCCTGGGTTCGTCAAAGGGACTCACTGGGGACTTTTCAAGGAGTCTTACACACAAGCATTTACGCAAGCATCCCTTCTAAACGAATCCCTCGAAACACCAAGGCCTCTTCAAAGTCTTAGATCTCGTACGTCCCAACGTAATCTCGTAGCACATATTATGATACTTACCTCTCAGCGCAGTTACGCTCCATTGGACTGGAACCGAGAGAAGATTTTGGGACATAGCGCCGACGTGTCCAATCTTCTTACTTCCTCAACTACAGTCCTTGGAAATATCCTGTGCCAAGATAGGCCAAAAGGAATCAGCTGATTGGGAAGCAGAAAAGCTACAAGAATTTCGACACAAAACTATGCTCAATTCCTTAATCTTTACCGAATGCGTTGTTTCCATTAAAGCTCTACATACCATTCTCTCATTGCCGAAAGCGCTACAGAGCCTAACTCTTTGTGAGATGTTTCATCACCATTGTATAATAGGTGACTCCTTCGCCATCGAGGATACTGATGCATTTAACCACGCTATTGGCCAGCAAGCCAAGAGTCTCGAGAGCCTCCATATCCAACGGTTCAGCCAATATTCACGAGATGGGAAGACTCTAATCCTCTCGCTTTCCAACTTCCCAGCCCTCTCAAACCTTCAACTTGGACCTTTTCGTCAAACGCAATTCAAATATGTCCTTGATACACCGGTTCCACCGGCTCTAAAATCTCTGCGGCTTGATGAGTATGGGATATTAATGTTAGAGAAGGACCGTTCTAGTAAACTTCTCTCAGGTCTATCGGTCGAGGGTTTGCTAGCAAATTCGGAAGCTTCCGGCCTGCCATTCACGCTTGATATTTCACTCCAGCATCTCTCGCCTCTTCTTCGGAGGCCGCTTTTCAACGGCGACGACGTGCGGCCAAAGATACGAAAACTTATATATAAACTTGGAGGGTGGTTTCAAGAGCTCCAAAACGCTTCCACTCTTCCTCGCTTAGAAGCGAACCCCGAATCTTCTCCAGCTTGTCAACCATATTCGCGTTTGCGCATTCTCACCAACAAGCCCCGAAAGAAAATACCACCATTCCTACACAATGAACCCCTACCTAGATTCGTAGTTCGTTACGACTCGTCTCACCCAGAGCGATTTCTCTGTAATCCCTATACTGCTAATCCAATCTATCCCGATAGAGACTTTAGTAGTGACGACGAGGACATGGATATTGCTTTTCGTGACGCCAACAGCTCAGACCTTGATATGCATACCTTTTAAATCCCAAATCGTATGTACTTTAATGTACTTTACCGATCGCTATGAGGCTATGAGGCTATGTGGCTATGGCTTGGGTGGGATGCATACATTCTCATAATAAAAAGTCTGCAGTAGACATTAATTTCCCATCACAATCAAAACAGGGTCTTAATACGTACGATATATATATTCTATCCACGTTGGACTTGATTATTTCAGAAATCCTCAGCTGGGTATTTAGTGGTCGAAGATATGGTATATTATATGCTGACCGTCCCAATAGTTTGACCCTTGTGTCTAGAAATAGAACGCGTTGTATAGGTAGGTAGCCAACTGAAGAGTCTTCGCCTACCTCTTAGTTAAAAACTCGAATATCTATACCACGTGTTCTTCTTATTTATACGTGGTCAGACAAACATTTGAGTATGTCGTTACTCCTCGTGTTGGGTACCTGCTTTTTCATCCATAGCAAGTCGACGAACGCACTTATATCCCCTAAATTTTCGAGCAGGCAGTTTCTCCTCAAACTATGAAAAATATAATTAGTCAAATGTATGATAAATTCCAATATTCGTGTCTTCCACTTACCATTTCGTCGATCTCTTCCAATGTTCGGCCTTCGAATCTTGCTGTTAGCAACTGGTTTGTTGATTAATAGGAATTTGATTTACCTTGAACTTCGGGTAGGAAGAAGTATACCCATACCCCAGCTACGATTGAGCTTGGGAACCAGATATAACCGTATCGCGGGCCCCAGTTTAGAGAATCGGGATTAATAAAATCTATAAGACCCACGATTAGTTTTTGAATCCCTAGACTAGCATTTATATGTGCTCTAGAATAAGTATCCAGTAACTTACAAGGAGCTGTGAAGGTAGTAAGCCAGGCAGCAAAGAATGCCACGGCTGCTGCCAACCCAAACGTATAGCTGCGTAGACGTTGTGACGGAAGCTCGCCACCACTCAACCAGGCATAAGTCGCGACCATTCCCTATAAGTCCATTTTTAGCCTCGATCCTTATCCTGTTTGCTAAATGATTTCAGGTCTTACATTGTAACTCATCATATAAAGGCATGATAACGCTACAAGAACTTCACCTGTGGCCTTTGCGCCAGGGTTTTGGTCGTATACAACTGCGACGATTAACTGTAGGATGCCACAAATTCCAAGGCCACCCATAAGAAGCACGCGACGTCGACCATATCGTACCACGATTAAGGAGTTGAGAACGATGGCAAATAGGCCAATTGCGCTAAGAACGCAACCCATCGCGAAGGGGTTGGTTACCCTGGCCATAGTGAAGAAGTACGCCTTGTACGCTGGAGAAAACTGTAAGAAACATTCAACATGAATATTTGGGTGGATGACTTTACAGATGATAAACATAGAACCTGTAGCAGCTTGTAGAGTTACTCCGCAGACGGCGAGAATCGTGCGTCTCCTATCTATGGGATTCTTGAACATATCTAACACGCCGACCTGGCTACCCATCTCACGTTCTTTATCGATGGCTGCCTTTATTTCCGCGACTTCGATGTCGACTTGCGCACCAGTCGGCCTTAGCCACTTAAGGGATTTGTGCCCATCTTCGATTCGATCTTGCAGGATCAGCCAGCGTGGAGACTCGGGTATAAAGAACAGGCCAACGGTCAAGAAAAGAGGAATAATGTAGATAAGTCCTAAAGGAATCAGATAGGCTGATCGATCAGACCGCGATGCCGTTGCCCAGTCCACGATTGTACCGATCAATGTGCCCTAGGAAGATGGGTTAGAACTTACCAACCATCCAGCGGCGTGTTTGACTTACGAAAGAGGTGCAAAACTGGAACGCGGTCAGGAAGAGCCCACGGTACTTGGCTGGACTACTCTCTTGGATAAATAGTTGGGAGAAGGTCATAAAGTAACCATTCGCTAATCCATTCAGTAGCCGTCCGACATAAAGGGCATTGATATCTGTTGTGGTCATCATTATAATGTTAGAAACAACGCAGCCAAGGCAAGCCATCCACAGACAGGTCTTTCGACCAATTTAGCAGCCACCAAGCCTGCGGTAGCAGAACTGACGAAGGCGCCAAGTGTCATCAGCGATGTAATTAGTTGTTGCCGCACTGTCGAGATGTTCCAACCGATTGCTGTATTCGGAGCTGGATGGCCGTAGATCTGTCGAACTGATGTTAGAATACGTAACACTCAATCATAGGTACCTAAGATATAATGCTTGGGTTAACGAACCTTGAGAAAACCTGGCATCGCCTGCATGCCTCCTATCAGACCGAAGTCAATGCCATATTGAAACGGCGATAGAACCATGAGACCACATGCTATAAAGCATCGCCAATGGGCACGTATAGTATCATCGTCCTTGATCGTCATCTTTACCTCTTCAGCGCGTCGCGCATCCTATAAGCCGAGATGAGGTAAACGGTTGTATTTTTGAGATAATAGTTCCAGCGTCCTGTACACCAGACGAGGCGTCGTATTTACGTGTGCATCAGGATGGCAACCCTGTAAGTGCCGAAGGATCTATGGGATTCCCAAGGACGCCAAGAAGCGCTCATCTAGTTAGCTAACCCGTTACCCCGTAACCCCAGGTTTGAGGATGGCTAGGAAGGGCCGGCAATATGGACAATCCCATGAGGTTCTCCACACTCTCCAAGTCCCCAACAGAGCGCAACCTGTTAATCTATAACTATTCAGGCTATTGTGGCACTCGATATGCTACAAAAGGGCGAGCCCCTAACTTTTCCCTGTAGATAATTCTACTACCTGCGGGGTTCTCGTCACCGCTGGGGTCTAGACACAACGGCTAAAATTCCCCAGAGGATGGATCGAAATCTAAAGCCGGGCTTGACCAAAATCTGTCGTTTGCTTAACGAGCTAAAATCGGATAGATTAAGCCCGAAAGAAGTTTTGTTTTTTACTTGGGAAGGGGGGTTAAAAACCAGTAGTCTCTACTTGGGTGTATGCACCTAGCTCGCAAATCTTACAACGCCGGTGAAAAGAGACTATATGCTGCTGATAGAGATGAGTTTCTTTGAGGCCTTGAAAGCGGGCTGCTGAAAATTTCCAAAGTGTAGAATTACTTAGGGGACATAATGCTAGGTCTATCGAAAGGGGTAATATATATTGAACGCCCAGAAGTTATTCGCGGAAACATAAGCAACCCTCCCAGCACTTTATATTATCATGATCCTGCGTACACACGCGATATTGATTTTTAGTCATCCATATGTCGAGCCTACATATGCAGATCATTCTACAAACTATCACCGCAACGCTGGCTTTACAAGCGTCAGACATGCTAATGTTAACACCCCTATGAGAAGCCATTCCTATATTATCCTCGAAGACAGCTTAATTGATATAGGCCATGTCGGTATCCGCTCCGAAAGCGAGGCAAAATATCTATATGAAAGACTCAGGGAAACTTGAATGAGTATGTGAAATATACCCATATCGGCAACCGCTGTATGTGGAAGAACTGCGGCCTCCATGATACCGAGTTTGAAGTGCGTGAGCATTTACGCTCGCAATATGCTATGAAGGTTCTTGTGCCTGATACTATGGACAATGTCGCAGGGTCGTCTAGATACAAATACAACTGGAAATCCAAGGATGAAGGAATGTACAATAAATAAGAGATTTGTGAGCTTTGGGAGTGGTCTGGCTTTAGGAGCGTAACATGAAGATTACATTGGCATACTGGGAAAGGGGTTACCTGGAGATGATAATGTCTATACTTTGGTGGTTTATAGGATGTGGCCTTGTTGCTTTCCTTTTACTTTACTTTTTCATACCTTAGGTATTTACCCTATCTTTGTATTTAAGGAAGCAACCTCCAAATAGCATCAAGAGTCCCTAGCGTTAGGTTTTGATTTACAAATCTTCCCATGCACGAAGAGTTAACTTTAAGAATAGTTGTTCACGCAGAATTTTATTCGAGTGAATGCTTCCTAGTAAGTAGCGAGACTCTAAATGATTTATTATGAAGTTGATATTACGCTTTGAGATAGGATAGGGGTAACACAGCCTCAGCTGTTACCAGCTGATGACCACCTGCTACCAGTCAGATTTCGTAAGTCTATTTTTTCTCCTTCATACGAAGCCTTGAATTGTTTAATAACCTTCTCCATACTCATAGTTAAAAGTCTGACATCTACGGCTAAAATCCAGTAGCGCATGCCTAGGAAACCACTGCATACCTACAGGTATCTATAGCCTATAGAGATGCTTTGATCCTACATTTATTTGACCTAACGCAATGTCCCCGACAACTGTGTCGGGTCAGCCAATATCCAGCCTATTGACAGTAATCATTACTACATCGCCGACACCTTCTGCACCATCTACAGAACTCATATCGGCCATCTTATCGTCTTTTCGCAATTATTGTACTACATTGCTATTCTGTCGAGTGATAGTTGTTTTTGATACTTATGATCGTATTGCATCTCATGCAAGGTTGAAGAAAGGACAAGTTACTCCAGAAGGAGCCAAAACCTTTGATCTATATAAGCAAGAAGTCAGGGAGCTGATCCTGGGGGAATTCGTTCGCGATGATAAGGAGCGAAGACTCGACTATGGCCAAGGTAAAGCTGAATTTGGTTATAGCGGCGTCGACGCAAACTTCGTCCCTTTTTCAATAGCTCACACAGTCGATAAACGGGTTATATTTATAGAGCCCTCGAAACGCTTGGGGTTTGGATTGGCTATACGATCCGCTTTGAGGCTGACCGAGACGCCGTTTGTCTGGGTGCAACAACATGACTGGCCACTAATCTCAAATGTTCCGATAGAACCACTACTCAATGTTATGTGGGCGACTGAAGATGACGAAAACGCACCAGTCAGATACGTTTGTCTTCCATCCGTACGCCTTCTTTCCTATGCGGACTCGGCTCACGTCGCACGATTTCCCGAGTTAAAAGGGCTTACTTCGTCTCTCAAGCGCGATTTCATAACGGAATCTGGAGTAAGCGTCCCTTTAACTCCAATGTTCTTCTGGCACGACAAACCACATCTCGTATCCACTCAGCACTACCTATCTCGCATCTTCCCAACAAGGCTTTCTATCCCCCGAGGCACATTCATCGAAGATACTGTCGGACAGCGGGCGAGAAACCAGATGAAGCAAGGTGACTGGATTAAGTGGGCTACTTGGCTTTACTACCCCGAGGACGGGCAAAGATTGTGTTTGAGACACCTTCAGGGACGCACCTGGGAAGGCTCAGAAAAAGAGTCGGAAAAGAAGACATTGTGGAGGGATCGTAACGCGAAGCAAAGCACCAATCCAATTAATAAATAGACCATTCCGCGCCTACGATGTTCCAACGGCTTTACTCGTCCTCCCAATGGGTTGTTCCTGTACACAGTTGGTGAACTCTTCAATGGATATCAGTAGAGAAAGAGAAGGAAAACATTGGGAAAATAATTAAAGCGACGCATGGCCAATGGTTTTATTAAACGTATAAACAACCATATCTCATAACTTCACCCATTTTCTCGAACTTTGCTTCGCTATATCACTCCTCGCACTCGCATGTACGCGCTCAATCGATGGCCGGAAAGGGTCCACCTGGCTTAAAACATACGAATCTTGATAGTACGTTTCCTTATTCCTCAATCCTCTCCCGCCACCAGCCCCTAAGTCCGTCTCACTGCCTGCTCTGCTATGCGTGGTCCCATTAGTTAGACGATCTCCGTCATCTTCCATGTACCGCGTCTCCCTCGTGATGTCTACTTCTTGTGTCACGAAGATCTTGCCCCAGTCCAAGTTCCTAAGCACAGGCCAAAAAATAGGGACACTTGCACAGACGCTCGCGGCGTCAACTTCTAAGACGGCCAGGATGATGGTAATGGGACCATACCACGTTGGATCTCTTGTCGGGATTGTCGCTACTCTGTGTTCGACAAGAGTTACTAGCCGCCAAATCGCAAAGACAAGCACGCTATAAATATGAGTGAATGGTACTGTCTTCAGAATGGATGTACGAAACGAAAGACTTACAAGATGCCCATAGAAAACAACGCGGCTAATCGCACACGCGCATTTACCGTCGAACCATCTTTAAAAATTAATGGTAAGGGTATTATAAGAACCACAATATCGAGGACCATGTTGATAGCGGCGTGGCTCTCAAATGTAGCAGCAAATGTTCTAGCGTATGGTGAACCGTATCCATAACAAGTTGGGCCACCACCTCCTTTGGCCCAAAAGTCGTGGATGGGCACGCATGGAACCCAAGCTAAAAAAGAATATGCAAATCCCCAGAGCGCCGTGAAAACGGCCAGCGCAATAACAAACCGGCGAATGAATACTGCTTGATCGAAAACACGTAGATATTGCAGTAGAAGAGCCTCTTTAATCAATGCTGTTGATGTTACGTATGCTGCGTTTGCAACGTAAAATGTTCGTATGAAACCACTGGACTGCCACGGCTCAAGTTGTAAAAAGTGCTTGCCAAGTCCGTACGTGACTGCAAAACATACTGCTATTGATCCAGCAGTGATCGTGAGCTTCCCAGGCGTGGTACTGTTAACTAATGCCCATTTACCAGACGTGTAATAGGCGGTGCTTACTAGGTAAAGTCCTACACATAAATCATCCCAGCCCGGAGCCTGGACAATCCTGAACCGTACGTACAATCGAAGGCAGACACATATCCACGACAGTATCTAAAGTTTTAAATATGTGAGAACCAGATCTATCTACTTAAGATTATCCGACGGATAGCCGAATCGGCAAAGGCGATGTCTGCATAGTAGGTGACATACCATACATGATATGACGACTCCCCAGATCGTCTCCGGCTTGTTGGATATCGGTTCCGACTCATCGAAATTGTCAGTCGAGTAGCGGAATTCCGACATGGTCTACTCTACGACAACGCGCGCTAGGAAGGCAAAAGGCCGTGAAGTCTCTGTGGACCGAGGCCTTACATCGAGCATCGGACGTGGCTTAAACGAAAAGGCAGCATCGAATCAGGAACAGGTAGTAAATTTATAAGTATTCGTGGAAGAAGGAAAAATAAAATGAAGTATGAGTAGGTAGCTAATGAAAATAACAGACGAGTAAAATACCTAAACGAAATCCCAGGATTACCGCTCGATGAAAGGTAAAGTAAGACGGACGGTGGGAATTAGAGTTGATGAGGAGGGATGGTAATCAATGTTTGGCCCTACTTTTACGAGGTGCATACATATTGTACATACCCTGATACCTTGTATAAGTGACAGGATGTGACAGGCGTTGGATCCACGGCTCACTTGAATCCTTCGAAAATGATTATACCAGATTGGGAAGATTCTCAGGCCCTTCATCACGTCAGACGTGCTTCTTTTATACATAGTACCTTATACTCAAACAATCCCTGGCTTATTCAATCACATCTTATACGCGCCAATCTATATATTCACTTTATGTCCGGATTCCAAGGGGATCCGTGCATGAGTTGAATCGCCCTTCCTTGCTAACCTACCTCTACATACTATGTAAGTCTCGAGGCCCTCGGGACTCAGGCCTGCTTAAGCGGTCCAGTTGACTGTAATCAGTATTGTTGCCTGCGCGTTGACAACCTAGAGTTACATCGGTTTGCCATCTCGAACATGGGAAGACAGGGCTATTATGTGGCCAAGTGGGTACATAGTGAAACAAAACGCAGCTTGTCCCCTACATTACATATGTATTGTAAGCTCAATTTAAGGATGCATCTTGCATAAGACACGTATCTATGTACACTAGAAATCAAGGAATATTCTTTTCGAGGAACCTCATCCGGTGCCGATCAGATCCCACGGCAGTGAGATTAGACACTATATTGCTATTCGGAAGCGGCTGACGATCCGCTTACTTTGTATATAAGATCCATTGATACATACCTAGGTACCTAGGTAAGTTATGTATTTACATCATGGTCCAACCATCGTTTTCGTATCCATGCTCCCTAATCCACGATTCACTCCACCCCCACTAAACTTTGTGTATTCAAGAAAGGTGGGACATCAGATATCTTGGCCAGCTGTATTATACCTAAGCGCTGCTTCAAGAGACTGTCTGACTGTTAAGCATAACGTATAAGTCATATAAGTCACGACTACACCAAATAACCCGTTCCATTTCCTAATGTAGTTCAACGGCTAGTTCAATAAGCAATATCCAGTGCAGTATCCAGTGACTGTCCACGGAAACCTACCGCTATATGTGAGCAATCATAAAAGCCGATCTACATCTCTCTCCAATTGTAAATACCATATGTTATATTAGCTAAACACTCATATTCACATATCACAACTGTAATCTACCACGAGAATCGACGTGTAAAGGTATGGATCTCTATTATGTATGGATTTAAGCTTCCTACAATGCCCTCATTACATCTCCACTCCAATCCTCTGATCGTATTGTACCTATATACATACCTACGCACTAGAGGGCGTGCCCACTCAGGCAGATTTAATCAAGGCTCATCTGCATCGATCACTATACGAATTAAATTTTTAACCAAAATGAAATAAAGTCGACATCGCTAAACCTTGCTAACAATGAAATCCACTGCATCGGGGGCAAGATCGTGGTACTCATGATGAGCGTCGGTTATAATTAATGTACCTTTACAAACTTCGTCACCGTCGTGACATAGGATTAAGGTCTTGCTCGCGTCGAAATTTGGGATTTTCCCACCATCCTATAATAACAACGATTAAGATCTGTATACTCTGGGTTGACTGAGGGGCCTGGGTAGATTGTGGGAAAACCGATTCCATCTTTAATTTGTTGAGGAAGTACTACTTCCTAACACAATGTAAGAGACTTCCGGCGGTTACGCACCTGCGCTTTCTGGGTGTCGCCATAAGTCACCGCCGCGTAGATCCGATTCTTAACAGAAGTTGATGCAGATTCGATCGATCGGTGAACAAGTGCAGCCCCTTGGCTATAACCCGAGACTACTAGTTTCGACGACGGACACTGAGTTGCCGCTTGCGTTATCAACGCTCGCATATTGTCAGCATCCTCGGGGTCGCAACCCCCTATTCTCAGATTGTCGATTAACAGTGCTGGGTAGTCGACCCCCTGAGCTGCTATAGCATTTGTACCCAATGCAGCTTTGAGTTGATCTATAGTTTGCGGACCTGGGTCGCCTCCCTATTACAATGTACCAAATGGTTAACCAATATGTCTGGTAGCTGTCTAGTAGCTAAAGTGGAAAAGTGACTTACAATATTACCATCCTGAGTGCTGCCACGGGCGAAGATGAATATGACATCCCGGCATCCACCCTCAAGAAACTCATTCTCCGTAGTTCCAGCTGATTGTCGCTTTTGCGTATTCGCTTTAATAGCTGCAGACCGACGGCCTTTAAGTTTCTGAATGGTGCTTTCGGAATAATCTAATACTAAGGGGCTAGCAACCGAAGAGGTCACCAGCGTGACAAAGAGAAGAGAAAGTGAAAGCCTCATGGTTGAAACCGGGGATTAAATCTTAAGACTACAATCTGATTTATTCGATATGTATAAGAGGAGAGCACCTTCTCTAGAGGACGCTTGCTGGAAAGATACTTTCACAAAGGCAATGAAGATCAGGTGGGGACCTCGTATCTTATATACACCTCGAACGGCCGCAGAAGCCTCACCAAGCAACAATACATCAATGCGGACTTACTTGAATAACATTGGTGACCTTCCTAGAAAGATGTATTGCTCCGGAGAGACACCTTGGAGTAGGTTGCCCAAATGCTTAGTTGACGGACACGTGCGTCGTAGGGACAATAATAAGGTTTTCAATACGAAAATCCGGCTATCCTGAACATAGAAGGTAGTATTAGAAACTATCACTACGAGTGAGCTTACACTGGGGTAGGGCATTGAATATGCGGGGATAATCAAGCCTGCCGAGCTGCCTCCACATTATGTATTGTATATCCCACATCATGCAGCTCGTAGACAATGCCAAACGTCAACCGCGTATGCGGTTGAATTCATGGCGTAGCTAGTAAATCAAGTGCTACTGGGTTATATTATCACACTACCTGATCAATATTACGACTACATTAGCGCTTACAAACATTGCCGCACGTAAAGCAAATATCTAAATTCTTTACTTAGCAATATGATCCCCCCTCGGCCCTTCCCCCTCCTTGAATACCAAAGACCTCTAGCTCCCTATATGTACATGAATAGAGACTCATATACCCTTCTATTATGTAATTCTTATCCTTGCTTCCTGATACAGAGATGCCGTATCGAGACCTCACCCGGTGGATGGGTATGGAATGGTAGATTGACGAATAATATATTTGATCGCATCGAAAATTTAGTTCTATGGAACCATTTGTGATTTTTTGGTGCGATGCCTCTGGCTCGATTGCTGCGTGACATCCCCTCCATCTGTATCCCCAGTATCTTCGCTGTCATTCTCGCCTTTAACCAAGTCGCTTGATAGATCGCTATCGCGGTCCTCACCTCCCAGTGCAGTACTTGGTTCGTTTGATCTGAGAACCTCTCGAATGATCTTCTTACCTTCATCCATTTCTCCATTCGATGCTCCGCAGGACATACATTTCCACCGGCCCAACTCCGACAATGACTGCGTTCCCGGAGGAGCTTGTCCGTTCACCAGGCGACAATTTTTACATATTAATACGATGCGATTTTTGGGTGCCATCTCATCTTCACCGAGCATGAGGTCCATGATACGGTCATACCAGTGGTGCGAACCTGTATTCATGTCATAATGGGAATACGATGGTGGAAGCGGGCCGGCATTAGGTGCGAATTCTTCCATAGATTGCTGGTCTGGATGTGGTGCGTGATAGTTGGGTATCCGAGAAGAGCCCGGGCGAGACTCCAGGGCTCCTAGAATCGGAGGCTGAGGTGGTCTTTGAATGTTGGCGGTTGGCGGAAGGGGAATGTTGACTCTCGAGTTAGGAATATCGGAACCTGCACCTTGTCGTGATTTCTTATTGCTCCCCTCTCTCTGCTCGCCGTCGAGGTTTTCGCCTTCTATTGTCTGTTTTCTAGGCTGGACACGCTTCTCTCCAGAACCTCCATACTTCTCCAGCAACTCCAAGGTGGAGTCGTATTTGGTAGCATCTTTTAGCTTTTGTATCGTCCTGGAGCGTTCGGTTTGGTGGTCCTTGAGACGAGACTCAAGTGTGTCGATGCGAAAGCTGAAGTAGGCATTGGTAAAGGTCCTGACGAGATAAATGCTGGGTTGTGAAATTCACTGTAAGCAAGATGTTTGATATCAAACAAAGAACTGTCATGGTGACAACATACAACACGGGGCCGCCGGCCATTCCAGTCCATTCCCCCGGACCTAGATTCTGCCACCCAACCACTAAGGTTAAGACAACAGCGTAAACAAGGTAAGCAAAAGCGAGATAGAGAGTCCAGAGAACTTTGATGCGACGGGCACGGGATCGCGCTCGGTCAAGTTGGGTTTGGGTGGTTGTGATCTTGTTAGAAAGAGTCGAGAGGGTCTTCTCGAAAGAGGACGGGGAAGAGACATCGCCCTGCTCGTAAGAATAAATAGTTAGTTTTATTACTTTGTTCCTTTACATTAATAGGCATGGGATCATAGGTATGGAAGACGAAGGAATCATCGGGTTGAGGTGTTGTTGTTTTCCCCCCACTAACCTTCCAGGGCCAAAAAGACACCATGACTTAGAAATAAAGACGGAGTTTACCGTCGAGAGACCATGGCGTCCGGGCCGGTCGTGTGAGAAAGAAATCGAGAATATAAGGAATATAGGAAATATAAGGCGACGGCCAGAATTGTATATTTAAGTTTAAAGTTAAGTACTTATAGGGACTGATATTAGGCAAGGAAAGTGTTGCGACCTGATGGCAGATGACAGATGTGACGACATTACAGGTGAACCGTGAAGCAATTAGGGAAAGCGACAAGAATAAAATTCATTGGTCACTATATCTGGAGCTATCGAGGTCGTACAGGCATATATATGCACGTAACTAGTTAAGTACATACAATATCATACATTATCTTTATAACCAGGTACATGTAACATTAATGCATGTACATACAGACTGCATGTGGCAGCTACCTACATAGGTAGGTACCTAAGGTATGTACATGTATGCGGTACCTACATTACCTAAGGTAATAGGGTACCTAGGTACCTACCTGAGGTAATCCGTACCTACCTAGGTTACCTATGTAGGTACATTAGGTAGCTGAGCCTCGTTCAATCAGTTCGGCCAACCAACGCTTGGTCGCAGTTTTGGAAACAGACTGGAAACATACCTAGGTACCTATCTCCATTTACCTTCCTTTCTTTTTTTAAGGCGTCGTTGTGTTTAGTACCAGTACCAGTACCAATATAGGCAGTACCACTGTCTATGCTTAATTTCCTTATCGCTCTTTAAAGATTGTTTACCTATTATTGCAAACGCGCATGGCTACAATCTCGAGTTGTACCCAACTGTCGCATTTATCGCCGGCGTCTTGAAAGAAGGCGGTTCGTCGAGCCACCATGTTTTCTGTACGTTTGCTTGCTTAATACAGTCCGACACCCGGATTTAAAGCGACGTAGCTTCTAACTATGTGATATATATGTATATAGAGAATAAAAGGTGCTATTGATCGCAGCATCGCCGAAGAGCAAGCTCGTCAGAAAGCACTCACCGAGCAAAGATCTACTACCAGTTCCCCTTCCGCCCCTGGTCAACGCCCACGATCGGTCTCGAGAGCAAATAGCACCAACTCTTCCACTAGAAGGAAGACCAAGAAGCCGAGCCAAGATAATTCTAATGGAGACGGCGCCGCGAACACCGACCCCGCTGTCTTTGAGGCTGCATTCGTACTTGACGACGATGATATCGAAAATGCCTCTGCCCAGCCGGCGGCACCAGAGAAGACGGTAGGGGGGACTTCATCGGGTAATGAAAAGGATGACAGCGCGACCGAACGAAATGGCGAGGCAAAAGACCATATTGGCGGTGGGGAAGATGAAAATCCCAAAGCAAGCCTACCCACTGCACCGGCGGAACTCCCTCCTCACGTAAGGAGCAAGCTTAGGAAACTCGAGAAACTAGAAGCTACGTATCCAGGTAAATCGTATTGCTAACCTAGCGAACAATGCATTTCGCTAATCCTGTAGAACTATTACGGTCGTATAGAATCGCACACGGACGAGCAACGTCTATCGAACCATTTGAACGGGCCTTACGCGAGAATACGCCCTTGACTACCATCAAAGACCCAGAAGCCCTCGTTGAGTACCTAAACCAGTTAAACCTGAAGGGGGATATGGTTATGGAGGAGTTCAAGCGCGTCTCGGCCGAGAAGGATAGCTTTAAAAAGAAGTTTGAGGAAGCTGACAAGGAATTAAGCACCCTTAGAGACGAAGTTGTTGCTCTCAAAGCCTCCAAGGCTGAAGAGGTACTAATACGAACAGATAATCAGGCGGGAAGTACGTCAGAAGACAAAAGGGTTCCCGAGGATACAAAACAAGCTGCGTCGCCTTCCGCGAGCAAGTCGCCTGTATCATCCATCTTGGGTGTCTTTTCTCCGAGGCAAAAACCTGTAGCTATCGAGGAATCTAAGGATTTGAGCGAGGATATGTTTTCCTACGACGATGAAATCCCTCAACTTCAAGCCGAGGTCGCGTCGAAGTCTGAGAAGATCGCCAAACTTACGTCTGAGATCAATAATCTAAAGGAAGAGCTAACAGTAGCTAAAGAGAATAGTGCTGGTTTGGTAGAAAGTCTCGAAGAGGCTACGCGGGAACTAAGCAATACTCGGGATGATGTTGCTACTCGGGAATTCATGCAGACACAACTGGACGCAAGGAACGCGGAGATTGGCGCACTAACTGAAAAGCTCGAGCAGACTCGATCGGCGTTGCGAAGCTTAGAAGTTAACCTCGAGGACGAAAAATCGAGGGCTGCATCTACGATAAGGGAGAAGGACACGATTCTTCAAGCTTCTAATACTAGGAATACAGAGTCTGATGAGGGGTTCAAAAAGCTGAATGAAGCAAAATGCGAGTTAGAGATGAAAATCCGAGACCTAACTAGCGAAATTGACTCGCTGAAGAAGGCAAAAGCTGAAGGTGATGAGAAGATTGGGCAGCTAAATGAACAAATCCAGTCTGCCGCCCGGCCTCGCTCGCCCACATCAAACCCACTAGGAGTTCCTGCACCTACGGCTGGCGGTTCTAAGAAGAAGAATAAGAAGAAGAAGAAAGGCGGTGCTTCCATCGACACCCCGGAAGTTGCTGCAAACGAAACATCAGATCATGTTCAGCCGTCTGTTCTCAAGGGTACAGGGACGGAGGCTCTCGAAATCGAAGTCTCAAAGTTGAGGGATGAGATCTGCCAGAAGGATACTCAAATCGAGCGTCTATCGAAACAGAGGAAAACCGAGGAAGACCTTAAGGATGAGATTGAAAACATGCAGGAAAGCCTGCTTAATATAGGGCACGACCATGTTGAAGCCAAGGAGAGAATTAAGAGCCTGGAATCTGAAAAGATAGAGTTGAAGTCTCGAATCACTGAGCTGGAGAAGGATATTGCTGCTTTTACGTCTAACACTAAAGCGAGCTCCAAGCTACAGGCAGACTTTGATTCCATGAAAGCCGAGTTTGACGAGTTAAAGATCAAATCCCAAATTCTACAGTCGGATTTAGGTGCTGCTCAGCAGCTAGCTCAAAGTCGCTACAAAGACCTCACGGACTTACGCGAGGTCCTAACCAAGGCCCAGCCTGAGCTTAGAAGTTTACGCCAAGAATCTGCCGCGTTGAAAATAACCAAGGAAGAGCTGGCTTCTAAGCAGAGCGAGCTCCGTACTCTCGAAAAACGTGAGAAGGATCTTAAAAATGAGGTTGCAAGAGCTCAGCGCCTAGCATCCGATCGTGAAACCGAAATCAAACTACTCAACGACAAATTGGCCGCTGAAAAGTCGTCCCGGGCTAAGCTTGAGGATGAGAAACGTGTCGCTGGTAGAGACTTTCGTCGTGCCGAAGCTGAGAAGATAGAATTATCCGCAAAAGCCGAAAAGGCTAGTCGTGAGCTGGAATCCCTTCAGTCGGAACTCTCTACACTTCGTCCGAAAGTAAAACAACTCGAAGACGAAGTTGCGAAGTTAAAGAAAGAGAAAGTTGCCACTCGGGAGGAAATAGAGTTGAAAGTGCAACAGTTCAACAATGCCCAGGGCCTTCTTAGCTCTATGCGCGATCAAACAGCCGAGCTGTCGATCCAGCTTAAGGAAGCGCAAAGCCAGACAGAGAGTCTCGAAGAAGAATTAGCGGAGGTTCAGAAGCACCTCTCCGAGAGGACGCGCGAGGGTGAAACAATGCGTCGGATGTTAGCTGACGTTGATGAGCGAGCGGACGCGAAAATACGAGATATGCGTGCTAGGATGGAAGCAGCTGTTGAGGAGCGCGATCGCATCGAAGATGAATTATCCACTTTAGCTCGGCGTCGCGCGCGTGAGTCCGAAGAGCTGAAGGTCAAAGTGCGCGAGTTCGAACGCGAGATTCGAACAATCTCCGGCGAGAAAGATGAACTGGAAGCGAGAGAGAGAGTGTGGCGTCGCCGTCGTGAGGAGCTTGAGCAGATCGAAGAAAAAGCCACAGCTGAGGTAGAGGATATGCGCACAGCGGTTACTAATCTACGGTCTGCCTTAGATGCATCGGAACAACAGGTACGGGAGGCGGAAAAGCAGCGCGCAGATTTGCGTAAGCTTCTAGAAGAGGCGAGGGGTCGGTACGAGAAAGCGAACAAAGAGCTCAAGAACATTCAGGCCAGATTCAACGTTGGTGGTACCACGCCAAATATAGCAAGCAGTGGAAGGTCTAGCATTGATTCCACCCGGAGCGGTGTTAACGGTGCCGCCAGTAGTACCGGTTCCGCCGTCCCGGATACGATGTATCTCAAGACTATTCTACTACAATTCCTCGAGGTGAAAGATGAAAAGGTTCGATCACAGCTGGTACCAGTGTTAGGAAAGCTCTTGCGATTTGATCGGTAAGTGATTTCCATGCTCATATATTGTGCCGTTTCCTTGCTAATAACCAACATAGCAATGATGAACAGAAGTGGATGGCAGCAGTTCAGCACTTGTCCAGACCAGGCAGATAGAGCAAACGGCCGACAAAGCGGAGACTGGCGTGTATTATAGATGCTGCATAGCGCAGGAGTCCATTGAATTATACGACAGCATATAAAGATGTTTACCTACCTGACCTAATGTACCTCCCTTGCTCATACCATTTGGATATAGTCTATTGACGATTACAAGTGTAATCCAATCCCGTGGTCTCTTTTTCAATGAAAGGTTGGCGGCATCATGACCTGTGTACCTAGGGTTCGGGAGGCATTCGACTAGGAATAGCTATATTATGGCTACCTAAACCTCGACTTATAGTAGTTCTTGACGAACCTAGTATTTTAATGTATCAGACATACTCTGCTGGATTTGTACGTAGTTTAGGGGCTGCTAGGCTAAGAAATCAGATAGCTGGACTATCTCTTCTTCCAGTAACGTTCGGCATATTTAGGTTCTTTCGGATTAGCTAAGATAACTACCTACTCTCAAAGTGCCATTACGAGATCACAAGCCTCATGTCTATACGATATCATACTATCGGACACTTTCTTTTCACCACACAGGTGGATTAATACGATTAACCCCCTTTTCTAGATAATAAGAAGCAGAATCCCCCCCCGTAATAGTTAAGCTAAACGAATTCAGCATATGTACCTAAGTACACTATTAAGTCGAGATACCTTGGAATAGATTGCATCACGCTTTAGGAGCTAATACGACTATGCCGAGATAGATGCCGTTTGGTCGGCGAAATAAGCTAGGCTTCAATAAATATAATTCCGCTTTATATAAAGCTCTTAGTTAATAGCGATATTGCCTTTGCGGCATCATGGGATACGGAAACTTGCCCTCTTTTTAAAAGATGCATTTATAAATTCTTGACCTCGATAAGCCATGCGTATCACAACAAGATTTCCCTTCTCCTTTAAAATGCGGCCATTTATAGAATACCTCATCGAGAGACGGGGATACTTGGCAGACCCTTGTTCGTGCAAGAGTAGATTTTCACAGATAAGTCGTATCCGATTCTGTATCTTGGAAGGTCTTACTGTAGCTATAACCTTCCAGGAGCGAGAGTCTAGAGTTTTGGTTAACAAGACTTTAAGCTCTTCTTCCGTTGACTGGCGCTGCCCTGTCTCGTCCTACAACCACCAATTGCTGTCGCGTCCTTTTATAGTGAGTAGCTAAGGAATGGAGCTACGCAGTTTAACCGCCTCTAATTGTTAATCAATCGCATGCAGTTAACCAATGCTCTGGAGTCGCTAAATTCAGCCTGAAAAGAACCAGACCGTGGGGATTGGGGCTCTGCACAATGCCATGCATAATACATCAAGTTAATATCAAAAGATAGACCCAATAGATCCTGTATATGCTTGGGCATTTAAGAGTCGTGTATCCTACTATAGGGTGTTTTTCACGACAGTCGAGTATATTTGGAATCCATACTCCGTTGGGACAAACTACACAATCGGGCAGCCGAGACGTGTTGCCGGCTAGACGAGGTGCCAAGCTCCCCCCTATATAACCAATGAAGATTAGCAACTTGGCCTTCGTATGGTATTTGGGGATTGCATCAACCTGGCATCATGGCCATTATCACGCATACATACATAGAACTAGGCTTGAATCCCCTGCGGCAGGATATGTATCGGCGAGCTCTTCCTCGATTCCGCCTTGGCAGGCCAGGTTAGCTGAGCTGGGACCTGGATATAGGACTTGCGATTGGCGTGGAAACTGGAAGAGGTCAAAGCTGGTGTGTACGCTAAGCCGCTATTCTGATATGGCATGCACGCCGAGCAGATAAGTCCCATGGCTTGAGTCCTGAAAACAGTGGCTTGGCGTCAGCAAAATGGGCTAGATTCGAGATGGCCTGCGGGATGCTCGTTCGACATGACCCATGGGGTAGGCCCCCGTCTTTTTACTCCGGAATCTCAATTCCTGTGTGGAGTTTTAGAAGAAAACGTGAAAGAAAACTAACCCGGCCGTAAGTTTTGTCCCCAACTACAGTACAACTACAGCACTGCCATGGCGGAGCAGAAACATATTACCCGGCGGTGCAGCCGGCTCTCTTAGCATTATTATAAGGTTAAGACGGTATAAGAAGCAGCAGAAAACGACCTAAAAGGACAAGGAAGCCCATCAGTTACATAGTAATCTCTTTCATAGAGTTAACACCATCTTCATCAGCCTCCTAACCTCCATCTTTACCAACTGAACTTTCTGTAGAAATGGGTGGCGCCGGCAATGCTGGATCAGGCAGCGAGGCCGATCCTATCATCACCCGTCTCGCAAACGAGGATAAGGTCAGATGGTACCGAAAGCCAAATCTACGATATCTCTATTTTCTACTATTTCCAACATGTATGGGGATCGAATTGACCTCTGGCTTTGACTCACAAATGATCAATGCATTGCAGATTGTGCCGTCGTGGATTGCATGTAAGTTCGCTATAAGGTCGCCCCCTAATAAAGATTCTCTTCTAACAAGAACAATGAAGACTTTGGCGACCCCCAGGGAGCTCTTAAGGGCATCATCGCGGCCGCATATTCGCTCGGTGCTATTCTTTCACTACCATTCATCGGTGTCGTCAACGACAAATTCGGTCGTCGTTGGTCAATCATTGGTGGGTCTGTCATCATGGTAATTGGTGCTCTGATTCAGGGTTTCTCTGTCAACGGTAAGGACTCGTTATCAATACAGAAGGATGATTCGTCTAATGAACGCAATAGCTGGAATGTACGTAGTAGCTCGGCTGATAATCGGATTCGGCATACCGACATGTATTGTTTCTGCTTCATCACTTATTGGAGAGTTGGCGTATCCGAAAGAACGCCCGGTCCTGACTTCACTTTTTAACGTGGCCTACTTTGTCGGCCAAATCACTGCTGCGGCCATCTGTTTCGGAACTAACAGCATCGAAAGCAACATGGCATGGAAGATCCCCTCTTGGCTTCAGATGTGTCCATCCTTGGTGCAGGTCGCTTTCGTCCTGTAAGTCCTGGCACGCTTATTTACCCTTTCAGTGAGTATGGATATCTAATATTATTCAAAGCTTTCTACCTGAATCGCCAAGATGGTTAGTTCAGCAAGACCGTGTTGATGAAGCCTTTGATGTTTTGGCCACATATCACGGCGAGGGTAACCGAGAGTCTGAATTCGTAAAGGCCGAGTTTGTTCAGATTCAGGCAACAATTAACATAGAACTTGAACACTCTAAACGATCGTGGGCTGACCTGGCTGCTACGGCTGGTATGCGTCGCCGGATGCTGATTAGCGGTGTATGTCGAGTTTTCTTTTGTAATCTTCCCTCTCCCTCAGGTCGCCTCTACCCATATATCATGACCGAGAGCCTATCCTACCCCAGAGACTGGTATAGTAACGCTGTGATGCGTGTCTTCTCAAGACGTTTGCTAATTATACTTAAGATGCTCGGCCTATTCACACAATGGTCCGGCAATACTCTAATCTCATACTACCTTGGTGATCTCCTCGCTATGATTGGCAAGAATGACTCGGTCTTTAAACAGCAAATCAATGTAGCTAGCGCATGCTGGCAACTGGTCTGCGGAACGTTTGTCGCGTTCCTTGTCATCAAGTTCAGGAGACGTCAAATGTACCTTGCCTGCACCATCTCGCTGCTGTTCGTTTATATTTCGTGGACAATTAGTATGGAGAGGGCTATCGCAGGGAAAGAATCGGGGAACCCTAACAATGCGGCGAACGCGGCCACAATTTTCTGGATATTTGCATACTCTCCCTGTTACAATATTGGATATAATGCCTTGACTTACAGTGAGCACATATTCCCTGGCAGCTTACTTTTCAACGTTTACTTCAACGTTTACTAAACTCCATGTAGCTTACCTGGTTGAGCTTTGGCCATTTGCTGAGCGTTCCCGCGGTATCGCATTCTTTCAGCTCTTCGGCCGCTTAGCTAGCTTTTTCACTACCTTCGTCAACCCTATCGGCCTTAAGAACGTTAGCTGGCGGTATCTGATATCTTACTGCTGCTTCTTGTCGTTCGAGATAGGGTTTGTTTATTTCATATTCCCTGAAACCTTCGGCAGAACACTAGAAGAGTTGGCCTTCTGTAAGTTGACGTCTTACGAGAACTAAATGTATAAGCTTTGAACTAACCTATCAACTCTCCCGTAGTATTCGAGGATAAGGCTTTAGCTGACGAAGCTGTCCATGCTGTCGAGAAAGTGGTCGCTCACCACGAGGAGACTACCATCGGTAAGGAGGCGTTGAGTGGAAATGTTGCAACCTCTAAAGTTACGAAAGAAGAAGGATAAGTATTGCTTCTCTAATATACTATCGAATACATTCTAGCTTTGGAGATAAGAAAGTGCCACTGCAATGAAATTTTGAGCAGATCTTAGTTGTAGATAGTGCTCAGGAGACATACGCTTTTCGAGTTCGATGCGCGAGCTTCATATTAAGCGGATAGCTCTCATGTCGAATTTAAAAAATATTTCGTAATTTTAGACGTCCCTTATCTTTTGGTAGCTGAGGTCTTACCCCAACCCTGTCTCACTTCCCCGTCTCCGTCCCCTCCATACCCCCCACAGCGTCTCCCAATCGAGACTGACGATAACAAATATCTCCTGGGAGAGGTCTGTTATAAGTGTAATCCCTTTTCATTGGTTCCTCGCGATAAGTTTTGGTGGGAATCATGTAACTGTAGTATGTTAGAAGAGGTCCACGATTCATCTAGGGTAGCACTAATCAACTCAAATATATTTACCTACCTACCTACCTAGCTGCACATGCAATTGTTCTCCCTAGCTTGGATAACGTTGCAATATTGATAATCACCTAGGAATAAATTTAAACTAAACGTTATCGTTTGTTACGTGTATTCCTTTTGTTTTCTTATCAGAAACAGAGTGCTCTGTTAAATCGTGTACCTCTCTGAGAGGATAGAGATGTCCTTTATTAAACTTATACAGGCAGCAATCGGTGCTGGTCCTCTTGACGAACCTCCAGAAGGTCGACCGGTCGGCGCTATTCTCCGAGATGACCAAGGGCTTGACAGGGAGACCAATACGGAGAAAACTGGGATCGACACCGGGAAGCAGGTGGTTCCTGATGTTTCCGTCGAAACGGGCACGGTGGTTATCGATGTGGTCCAGGTGGTTTGGGGTAGGAGAGGCCGATTTCTCGTCATCATTGGGTAGGTTCGGTCCCGGGGAGTTTAGATGCTTTGATGAGGAAGCACTCAGTAGAGTACAACTAATATCTCTAGTTTGTGTTTAATCATGATTGTATAGTAAGAAATACCGATAATTTAATACGAATTTGAGACTACTAATTAACACCCGGTCAACATAGCGAGATCGACAATAGCACTGTCTATATTTACCGCAACTATGCCTCATCGGAATTTGGGGAGTTATCCAAACTTGCTACCTTGAGTACAGCGGGGACGATCATATTCGCTGTTGCAAAACCACCTATTGCCAAGTTGTCTAATGTCTTCGGCCGTGGTGGGACATACCTCCTTGCCATTAGTTTCTATATATTGGCCTACATTATCATGGCTTCAGCTAAAACCTTTAATACCTATGCTGCGGGCTCTATCTTATATTCACTGGGTCAATCCTCTACAAATCTAATGAACGATATTGTGATTGCGGACTTGACGACGGCCCGGTATCGAGCCTTCGGAATTGCCCTTTCATTCTGGCCTTTCCTGGTTACGCCTTGGGTTGCCGCTTTTATTATCAACAGTGTAACCGCACCTACAGGCATTGGCTGGCGTTGGGGGATAGGCATGCTTGCTATTATCATGCCGTTCTGTGCAAGCTTTATTGTTATCACATTGCTGTGTTACCAGATCCGAGCACAGAAGGGGCTCATACTAAGGGAAAAGATTTCCTTATACGAGTTCTGTTCGCAGATAGACCTCGGCGGTGTAGCCCTGTTTAGCGGTGGCCTAGCCCTCTTGCTCATTCCGATGACCCTAGCTTCCACAACTTCATCGAGTTGGAAGACTCCATGGGTTGACACGCTGATTGTACTTGGTACGGTGTTACTTATTGCGCTCCCTTTCTACGAGCGGTATTTCGCCGAGCACCCCGTGGTGCCTCCTCGCTATTTTACCAGTCGTACCATAACCCTGTGCTGTATGCTTATTGCGATGGATAACATTGGCTTTTCTGCAACACGTAAGATATCCTTGGAACATATCTCTAACGACGCAGCACTATCCCGGGTACGAGAATTGTGATAATCTGTATATTTAGGTCTTGTGATGCTGGAAGCGCATCTAGGAATAAGCTAACGTTAGGCCATAGATACGTACATATACGCCTGGGTTACTGTGGCACGAGGCCTTGATGCTCGTGATGCTACGTTTTTCACCTGTAAGACTAGACTACGTTCTCCCTTCATATGGAGGCACTTGGATTCCACCTCTAGACGCTAACCGTCACAAGATACCAACGGGGTAACGCAATGCCTAATTGCAATCGTTGCAGGGTTGGCAATAGCTAAGACCAAACGCTATAAATGGGTTTGCGTACTCGGTGCTACTATACGTTTAGTTGGCTATGGGGTCATGCTCCGCCTTCGGGGCTCCGAAAATAGTATTGTGGAAATATTTATTGTGCAGCTTGTTCAGGGAATCGGCAGCGGAATGGTCGGCTCAACTTTACTTATCCCAGCCCAGGTTGTTGTATCTCATGCTGAAATGCCGCAAATTACTGCCTTGGTAGTCTGCTTTGCCTTCGTCGGGGGTAGCATAGGTTCCTGCATCGCTGGTGGTATATACACAGGTATGATACAGATGGAATTATCGATGGCCCTAGGCGACGTATCGACGACGGACACCGTATCTGCGTTGGCAAATTCGATTACGGCCGTTCTTCCCGAATGGGGTTCACCCGAACGAACTGCTGTTAATATTGCAGTGAGTATTTCAATGCCTTACCTTGCTTATAACATCCTGCTCATTTCGCGACAGTTTACGGAGGTAATGAAATACATAACATACGCAGCTGTAGGGCCATCTGCGATTGCCTTCATCGGGTCACTCTTTATGCCCAACTATGAATTACCGTAAGTATCATAATGGTTCAGTCTATATACCTGGGGGGTACATTAAGTCATGGTTGCTAATGAGTTACTAGCGATAAAAACAATCTTGTCGAGTGAAGAACGACAAGGGCGAAGCCATAATATTCCAATTCCCTACATAGGCAAACGCCAGTCCATCCTACTTATATTACACGATTGGCTAGGTATTTGAGTTATCGAGGAGGTAAATATACCAAAGGATAGTTGAAAATAAATACAATTGCATTCTCTAGGCTATAAAAGGGGCCGCAATTCATACTTGTGATACCTATGGGGTTAATCTGGGCTGAAAGCCCCAACTGACTTGGGATAACTTGTGAGAAGCTAATGATAATTCGTCAGCATGATTAGGATGTGGATCTTGAAACGGGTAATAATCAGGCTCGCAAGTAGTTTCCGGTTTCGGAAGCGTGCCGTTCTGGAAGTAGGCATGGATATAACTAGCGGTGCAAGTTGAAGCGGCAGAAAGGCTAGTGTGCTACGCGAGGAGTTGTGTCAGCTTATAGGGATCTATATGCAAGTCGGAGAATACGATCACTCACGCCGTAGGAGTTCTGGACTAAGACGACAGAGCCTGGGAAACCTTGCGAGTTGTTTCTTGCACTGATGAGCGGAGATATGTTATCGGCCATGTTGGCTACATAGAGGATTGGATGACTTGTGTTGCCTTCGAATGGTCCTTCAAATCTCCAATGTGGTCTGATAGCCCTGCCTATACAAGCCAATCTAAAGAGAGCATTGACATCGCCAGCAGCAGAGCTAATACGTATAAGCTTTTCGACAAACTCTACAAATTCTGATACCGTGTCGGAAATAGGAGGCGAATCTGCGCAAAGAATCGCAGGAAACGCGTCATCGTTTCCTTCCTCTAATCTTGGTACGTTAGATGGTATTGCTTCTATCGAGCATATCGGTGGCGCCGAGTTCTCCGACTTAACTAATTGGTAGAATGGCTCGCCGTCACCATCTTCTAGGGCCCTCAAGACTTTAGCGAACTTTTTGAACATGAGGATGGGCCGGTAAAGAGAAGCGGAGATCAACCGCTTGAGGTGGGACCAAGTGATTAGCTGCGGCATATCAGGCCCCGATTTAGAGGCTGGCACAATTATGGGATGTTCCCTGATCCGCTTAAGAAGGGTAGCTAGCCTTCGCTCTATGGCTGTCGGGCTTGACGCGTAGAAGTCACAACTAGAAGGGCCAGCTTCGTAGCAGAAGTTGTAGAAAGCTTCCATCACTTTATCAGTATCGTGCAGAAAGTTGATATGCGAGTTTACATGCCATTCCCGGTAATCTACATTACCTAAAAGTATCCTTGTTAATACTTATTAGCCAGGTGTTCTCGTAGGGCTAGTCTTACCATCGCTAACGAGCCTCTCGACCTTATCAGGATACATTGCGGCGAATACCTAGATAAATTGTCAGATGTTAGCATGACGTCGTGAACTACATGTTTAGAGGAACAGCCGTATTTGATAACCACTTCGTCGATACAGGCGCAAGAAAGAATATACTTAGGTAGTCTTAGGGGGATGCTTACGCCGCCTAGTATCGTCCCATAGCTGAAGCCCCAGTATTTGAGCTTGTCCTGCCCAGTCTGGTGGAGAATCTCAAGTAAATCTCTCGCATGCGATGCAGTACTGATGTGCGAAAGAAGATCCGAGCCGTTCATGTTTCTCTCACAAGCCTGGGAAAAGGCGGTTGCTCGTGCAAATGCGTCATATATGACTCCCGGATGGGAATCAACCACGCCAACATCTTGCAATGCCCATATGCGACTCTTCTCTTGAGATCCCCAACAGTCAACCCGCGGAAGAGATGCGCCGATGCCCCTTGGATCAAATGATATGATATCATAGTTCTTGCCAGCAATAGCCTGCAGAAGTGCGCCGCGATCTTTAAGTGCATAAACCCCGGATCCTCCAGGACCCCCTGGATTAAAAAATAAGGGACCCTTATAGTCGTCAAGTTCAACGGCTCTGAGGCGTATGATGGCCAAAAAGACTCGTGCCTGCGCATCCTCGGGTGGACTCAGCCAGTCCATCGGCACATCGAGTCTTGCGCAGTCATAATTGCCATTATAGCAACTCTGCCACTGTAAGGTTCTTCTGGGCTCGATATTGCTCCAGTCCCAATCGGCCAAAGATACTTGTAATAAATCCTGAGACTTGAGTTTCGTAAAAAGATAGATTATGGTTGCTATGCGCTCCCCGTCTACCTGGCAGAGCAGGAAGGTTAGCAAGAAGAGGCTAATGAAGACACTGACGGCCAATTTCCAAGCCTGCGATCGCGATACTCCTCGTGATACCCGCAGCGATCCGCCTGGTGAGAACGGGATATGGCCCTTGGCGTGTAACGCGTAATGCTGCGTCATTCTGGTGGACAGCTTCGGGTATTCATTACAGACATCAGAATTAGAGATATAGACAAGTAAGTTAGTGATAAGAGAAATAGGCCAGCCGTTGCGATGGAGATGTCTAGGTTAAATGCCTAACCTAGCCGCGATCGCTTCCGGGGGGAAAGGGAGGGGGGTTCCTTATCTTTGAAAGGGGAGACTTTGAAATGGATGGATCCCTTCGTTATTAAATCAGCATTGACTGCATCATGTATAGTTGAATATACTATTAGCTGCATATTCTATTATGCGATTAATGGAGGGGCATTATTACCCCCTTTTCACCGATTATGGCCCTTGACCAAATAAGTTGTAACAACTCTGGCATGGACATACGAACGTAGATATGATATTGATAAGACTATATGTACCTGGGTAGGTGCCCAGGTTAATAGATCGATTTACTTGTATCAACCATTAACCTCTATTCCGCGACTGTCGTTTCGACTTTTGCCTCCCCAGACCATCCGAGATAATCTCCGACTCGACAACAAAAACGCCTTGTTTCCCAAGAGGGTCTACCTGATTCAAGATAAAATAGTCCATGTAATTTTGAGAAATCTTTTCCACGGGGTCTAATTCGGCCAACCGGCTCTGGCTGGACTCGCTTCCTGCATGTTGTACGGAGGCCGCCGTTATGATAAACGCGTAGGTATTGGAATAAGAGAGACATCTTGATCAGGGTCGCCGACATGTTATAAGATGCATTCGTTACGTAGAATACCTAGAACACCTGTTAGAGTTAACTTCCATACTACATCCCTCCATTATCTATACGATCAATATACCTTTAGGTACGATTGCATATCACCGTAGTCAAGGGTTACGAAATATTTACCCAACCCATATTGGGGAGCTGGAAAAAGGTCAGCGCCTTTCGAAACCGCAGTACTCTATGGTCCCTACTAACCAAGACAAAGCGATACTCCGCCGGTTAAGCCCGACACCTTTTTGATACAATGTTAGCTATTCTCCTAACAACTGGTAGTACTCCCTTACAAGATATAGCAAGATAGAACAGTCATCCCAGCCTTTAGCTCGCAGCACGAAGAATCGCATATAAAGACGGTAGACTACGCAGATGGAAGAGATGCACTGGTATAGAATGTCAGAAGGGGTTTCATATCATTTTTTTCCATTTACAAACACAGAGGCCGCAACAGTCGCAATAACTCCCCGACAATTCCATGACGGTACAGGTTCATCAAGGTTGTTGTGGACTCTTACACGATCTAGCAGCGTCTCCCCTTCTGCCATGATTAGTATATCGCTTTTCTCAAATAGTAAAGCGTTTAAACTCTAGACATTATGTGCGTCTAGTCAGTCATTCTAAACGTCTGGCTTTGTCGTATGCTTTTCGCCCTGATTCGGTCCCCTGTCGCTTTACCACAATACGCATGAATCGATGGCACTAGGTTACGCTATGCTGAATGGGAGGCAAATCAGCTCATTCAAACAGCGCCAGCAATTATATCGTATGAGCTGAAACGAGTGTAGTTGCGGTTAAACGTTGATAATAGAGATACATAGTTTCCCTCTCGAAGTAGGTGGGATATGTATGATGAGATCCTATGTCTCTTGAAATGAACTAATAATATGTTTAGTAAGTTACAATACTATTTATCCAGGTCTAAGTCTCTTCAAGGACCTTGCTGGTAAATAGGGGACGGTATTTACATAAATGTCGGGTTCATTTCTGCATTGGGATCCCTGGTGTATTTACTCTAATAGATAACGAATAGGATTGTCTTGTTTACATATACTAACAGACGATTTGCTTAAGATATCTTCCCGATATGTAGGTATGGTGGTGGCTTGGCTAAACTATACCATCTCTAAGGATTAAGGAAGCCATGTCCTCCTTATATAAATCTATTACCTGGAGGCTACACTCTTAGGGTACCCCTATTGCCCCTTAGTACAAATTGTATTAAACTCTTTCTTTTTTGAACATCAACTGCCTAGTTCAATAGTAAGCAATGTATTCATTTGATAATTAATACACGCTCTGTTAAATTATGTATCTACATCTGCACGAACTGTTGGTAGTTAATCAGTGGTAGTGGTTTATGGGTACTCCAGCGGTAAGCTATTATTATACCTGAAAACATTATCTGGGTCCCATTCTCTCTTTAGGGATACAAGGCGAGGAAGCTTTTCTTTGCTGTAGATCTGTTCAACTGTTTCATCTCCATGAGCATAGCTCACGTACACAGAAAGGTCATCGAACCCCGACGTTTTGGTAAAATCTCGCCGAAGTCCGCGCGCAAGAATATTTGCGGCTTCTTCGACAGAGCTACCTGGCTCTGACCAGCTCATTTGAAACATGCTATAGATTTAAGATGTTAGATCAGAAAACAGTTGTCTCAAAGTTTACCTTGGGTAGATAATTATATGAGCAAGACACACGTACAAGTTCCCTTTTGCATTCCTCCAAGGATAAGCCGTTACATCAGCCGACACAGAGCCAACAGCATGAGTAGAAAACGTTTCTAGTACACCAACACTAGATCGTCCATCGGGGTATGCCCTATAAAAGGCGTCGAACTTGTCGCAGGCCGAGTTCAGCGTGTTTAACTCAAACTTACGAACGTTGGCTGAATATATGTCGTGAATCCCTCCTGGTGTACTGACTGCAGGAATCCAGCCAAAGAGTATAGTGGGAAACAATTCGATATATGGCACAACGCTTACGCGGACGGTTGGGGGGTCTAATTCAAAGAATGGTGCAAGGATCTGACGACCTTGGTGTTCTGTACCGCTATACACGAAGGTGCCTATGATTTGAGTCTTCGTATACTGTTAGCACTATGCACATAAATGAGCAAGACGTGAATATTTCTCAGTTGCTTACTTCGCCGGCGACAGAATCCCAACGAATAGTGCTGATAATGGCCAATTCCTGCGGCATTTTGTTTTCGAACGCCTGTAAAGCTTTGAAGTAGGCTGACTTCATATTGGCAGGGTAAATCATATCAGCGGTCATGATTTTTCCATTATTGACAGCTTTGTTTAGCTTGTAGGTAGCGGAGGTGATGATACCAAAGTTAAACCCTGCGCCACGAATAGCCCAAAATAAATCTGGGTTTAAACTGATCGACGCTTCAACGAGGTTCCCGTTTGCCGTAATGAGTCTCACGGATAAGAGAGAATCGATTATCAACCCGAAGAGGCCTTGGAGGACTCCTACGCCACCGCCGAGCGTTGCACCAATTAAGCCGACATGAGGACACGAACCAACGGCTACGATTTGTTAATATGCTATTTCAACTGGTGAAATCCCCAAAACTTACGGAGCTCATATCCGGCATCATAAACGGGGCGCATAGCATCGCCAATTCTGACCCCAGCGCCTACTGTCACGGTACCGGCAGCTTTATCGACCTCGATCGCCTTCAATTGGCTAAGATCAATAGCCAGTCCGCCTTGAAGGTTTCCTAGTGTAGTACCATAACCGTGACGGCCCCCCGTAGCCAGAAAAGGGATGTTTGCGGCTCTTGCAACCTTGACCTAAAGTGAATTAGCCACCGTGAAACTTTAGTGAGCTATCAGAAACGCTTACAATGTCCGCTATTGCTTCCTCATTCAATGGAGTAATCGCCGCTGAGAACTTGGGGGCTTTATATATAGACCACCGCAGCGTTGCGGCTGCAAATTCTTCTGATCCCGGGTAGTGAACTATAGTTCCATTAGGCCATTGTATATCTCTGCTTGAGGATGGCCACTGCATTGTATAAATAACCCTAGGTATATAGTAGTTTAGGTATTCATAATAGTCTTAACAAATTTAGAAAGCAACAGTGCATTGAATTATCAAGTATAGTCAATAGCTCTCTAAGGACTCCAGAAGAGAAGACGCTTTTGCACTAAGGGCGCTAGGGATTATATAATTATTTAGAATCGGGCGTTGGATTGTAAACAAGGATTATTCAGTGTTTAATGCTCACCGCACGTTGGGCGCCTCAGGCCGATACGAATTCCCCCCAGTGTTAGAGAAGTACATAGTTACCACTTTAAGATATCCTAATCATATACGGCTATTAACTCCTACTAACCACTTGCATGCGAACTGTTGTGGTAAAAGCAACATCTAAGCACCAGTTATTCAAGTATTAAAGCTTCAGCTCCGTACGTCGTACATCCTAGCCAATTACCCTAAGTAGATAGTTCAAGCCTTACTCTATGAGTTCCTCCAATGAATGCAATATGTTTCAGCCACGAGGTTTAACTGGCTATTAGCTAAGAACAGCGTTTAACTAAGTAACGATCTACCTTGTTCTTCGTAAAGAATAGCCAATACAGCTCAGTTTTATTTGTTGGCATGGATCCTGCTTCCAAGTTATACCGGTGTGCTGGCCGCCTGACCGCCTATTAAACCTGCTATACACCATTTCCGAACGCGTATACATTTAGCCAACGCTATCAAGCATACTAGCAAGATACTCTGTTTCGAAAGATCCCCATACAAACCTTGTCGTATGGCCGGGAAGAATCGACAAATCTCAGGGCCGTACCAAGACGAATAACATTCTTCAGGTCATTGTTTATTGTCGAGGCATGAATCTTTCAAGATGGCCAGCTGGAATATTTGTTGTGCCTTCACTTTATTGTCTTACCGTGTATGGTGTATGAAGAACAACGTCGCCAGCCTCGTAGTTCGTAGTAAGCCATTTTCGGCGATGCGCCTCGGAAAACTCCTTTGGCCCGTCTGCAAGTAAGCCTCCATTCATCATATTTTTATTAAATGCATTCCTTTTCTCTTCTTCGGAAAGCCCGGTTTTCTCGGCAAGATCATAGAAATATGTCTCGGTGTCTTGACCGAGAGTATGGCCTCCTTCTAGGCAAGGCAACATCGCCCATAGGTACCCAAGCAGTCATACCAGTATCCTCGCCATGTCGGAGGAAAATCTGGTCGTAATGTACACCTATTGCTTTGTTTTGCGGCGTGTTGTTTCTCAAAAGGTACCCAGTGAGACCGAGAGTATTATCACCTCATCCGGTGAACTTGCTGATAAACGAATGGAGTGTTTCATGTTTACAGAATTCATCCTTATACCAAAGTTCCTCGTGGGCTTGCAATGCGGGATCAACAAAAAGACCTCCACGAGGACGCCCGTTCCCGTCAGTTGACCCAGCTCCGCTTATTCTATGTTAGCCCCCTTCGGGAGATTATCTTTTATCATAATACGCGACGTAAAATTTGAGGTTAGTGAAGGAGCATTCCTCCAGATAGGTATTACCACAAAACAGGAAATGGAGAGTACAAATAAGGTGCCTTGCATACTAATTAAGGGTTCGTTAGTAATAACATAGATACCGAGTTAGGTGTGTAATGGCTTCCCCTAGGTGAGGATTCAGAATTCCGATAGAGGGCACTTACCATTCCAGGGAAATCTAATTTATCCTTTTCTTTATCGAACACCCCTTCTACGGGAAGAGTTCCAGGTGCAAGCACACCGCTAGGGGCCAAAAGGGTAAACTATGCCTCTCTAGCCTTGAGTACGTGTTCCCGCGGCAGGAGGTTCTTCAAAAAAAGATAACCATCGTGTTTGTACCGCTGACGTAGGTCATCCAGAGGTTCATGCGAGGACGAGGGACGAAGAGAGCCAACTTGCTCAGGTCTTAGCAGCCCGTCGTTGACATATAGAGGAACGAAGAGTGGTGAATCTGCAACGTGCGGCATATTTCATGGCAAAGAGGATAACCAGTGTGTTTTATATGAAGTATTTCTATATCAGCATGCGAGCAGCTCCTGAGATGAAGAATCCAGAGTCAACTAACCTAGTAAGAGAGGATTAGAGTAACAAAAAAGAAATAGAGCTCATCAAAAACGACATAGAGTCTCCACTGAAAGATCTTGCTGGCCATCCGAAGTTGAGTCTGCCGTTATCAGTAACACCAAAGTTGTGCAATTAGTAGCTAGTTAGTTTGAACGTACGGTTCAAGTTTCGGTACTTTGATATAGCGAATATGCTTATTCTCGCGGCGATCTTGGCTGAATTGGGATTTAAGTAGGGTATTACGACAAGGGCAATAAACTTCATTCGATCAGCAGCACCCCAGATTCTTCTCCATGATCACCCCGCAGAATCCCAAATTCACGTGTGGGGAAATCCAACCTTCCGCTGCCGCATCCGCCGATATAATCGCCTATGTAAAAATGATCCCTGCTTAATAACTTGCATACAAGCACGCAGTATTTCAGTTCTTAGTATCTTTGGATTGTGATGCCTGTTCGATCATCTCGAAGCTAAGTAGATAAGTAGAGGGAGGATGTTCAATATAAAGCAAACGAATCCTATTCGCCGAACGGCCGGTGAAGCCGGGAAGCGTCCTGAAAACCTTCGTTTCGTTTACTTCCTTACTGGGTTCGTCTTTATTGGTGTATTACTTTTGGATATGGTAGGCTCGCCTATACATCTATTAGGTCGAATTTCTTTACGTTCCATACAGTAGTGGGCTGACGATATTCCCCAGATCAAGGTGTCATGGGAGTCATCGTAGCGGACGCTAGATGGATCCGCCTTATGAAACCGGCTAATAGCTGGGTTACGGGAGCGGTAGTATCGCTTTACGACATTGGGTGTTTAGTCGGTACTGTGTCCATAGGCTTTCTTGCCAACCACCGTGGTCGTGAGCGAACATTATCAATCGCCTGCGTAGTTTTTATCATTGGTGCTATACTTCAATCGGCATCATATAACATCACCTCTGTTACGGTCGGGCATGTCATCTTAGGATACGGTGTGGGTACATGCGCCGGCGGTGTGCCGCTATACGTATCTGAGATCGCACCAGCAAAGTTAAGGGATCGTATTATCGGGATAGAGCAGATGATTCTTTGTTTCGGTGAGCTTGTGGCTTTCTGGTTGAATTATGGGTTTAACTTTCTGGAAACTCCCAATTGGTGGCGTATCCCGCTCGCCATCCAAGTCGTGCCAGCGGCTATCTGGGGAGTCGGATGCTGGTTTTGGGTTCTACCCAGCCCCCGTTGGTTGGTCCAGCAAGATAGACACCAGTGTGCTCGTGAAGTGCTCGCCCGGCTTCACGGCGATGAAGTAGCTGATCTACAAATGGCAGAGATAGCCGAGGAGGTAGCCTTTGAGAACGCAGTAGTCACAGCGATTTGAGCTGATCTGTTCAAATCGCCAGTTTTACGTGTTACTCTACTCGCTATGGGCGTGCAATCCTTCCAGTAGATCACAGGTATTAACTCGATATTATATTACACTGTACGTTCGCTCCATCTATTGTATGCTAATGATATTCTAAACGATCCCCAGCCATCCCTTTTTGAGCGTGGAGGAATAACAGACCCGAAGACAGTCTTGTTTGTCTCTTCTTAGATTCCGATATTTCTATTCGACCGTCTTGGACGCAAGATATGGCTACGGACAGGCCTGGTAGGAATGTATTGTGCGATGGTAGGCATCACCGTCTTGCAGTGGCACGCCGAGAGAGATCCCGACTCCAATGTAAACTATGCTATTATTGCTTTTCCGTATTTGTTCTATGTGTTCTTCGACATCAGCTGGGGTGTGGGAAGTTGGACATACGCTACAGAGATCTTCCCCGTCGTGTATCGGGCGAAAGGAAACGCCCTTTCAACCGCGAGTCTTTGGCTGAGCTGCTATGTGGTAGCGCAGGCAAGTCCCCCAATAGCCGCACCTATCGGCTGGGGTCTTTATATTATTTATTCCTGCATCTGTGTAGTTACATTTATATTCGTACGATACGCGATGGGTAAGCATAAACCCTATTTCTTTTATCACTAGGTCTAACAGTCGCAGTGGAAACGAAAGGGGAGACGATTGAAGAGATGTCTGCTCTTTTCGGCATTGAAAGTAAGTTAGTAAGGAGGAGTGGAATGGAAGTTGACGGCAAAATCGGCATTGCTCACGTTGAAGACTCCAAGATGAGATTTGTCTAACTACCTGGACTCCCTTACTACCTACCTACCTAGGTTACCTAAGTACCTAGGAGGTTAGGTATTTAAATCAACAAAGCTCGTATTGACTAAGATAATAATACCAGTCATCGAGTAACTCCCTATATCCAGAATTCTCCACAGTTTCTTTCTGGTGTTCAACATTCAATCATTTTACTCCGTTCAGATAGCCTTTGGGACACCGCTGTTAGTTGTGTTGTGGGTATGCGTATGTGTCCCACCGGGAGTAGTCGAATGATGGGTAGTTCCGTGGGCAGCTCCATCTGTCCTCGGAACACCTTTATGCTCCCATTCACGCTGAGCAAACATATTATCGACATCCTTAACGTTTTGTTTCCATTTCTCTGCGATCGCTCGATTCTTCGTTTGCGCTGCTTGGGTTTCCGGATGGTTTTGGTTGTTGTCAAATGCTTGATCCGTAATCTCCATTGCCTCGCCTCGAATGGCATCCCCAGCTCCGCGAATACCTTTGAGGCCAGTTTTGACGTCATCTATTAACCTTGACATGGGTGCGGCTTATGAGATGTGTGAATTTATATACATACATAATGAATGATGCTTTCAAAAGGGTAGATAAATATGAACGCAAGCCTCCAACTATCAAATAACACACCCATTTATTCGAATCATGGCAAATGACGTATTCATGTCACACTTCCATCCAATTATATGCCAAATCAGGCTCCATAATAGGCAATTCTTTAGCTTCCTGGCTGTGTAGCTATGGGGCGGGACCTGATGTCATAAGTTATTTGTCAATGGATACGCAAGAAACATCTTACCAATGGCAAGATGGCATTGCTTGGAAAACGACGCGCTGCGGGTATTCTATTTTAAGGTACCTTAGGTACCTACATATGTATGTAGCTTTCGCCTCCTCGCGCCCAAAAACTAAGTGCCTGATCCGAGGTACTCCCGAAAGGGTGGGCATCCCGCCTATTTTGAAGTATTTTTAAACACCGCTAAAATATATACCTTTTCTACATAGTTAGTGATTTTCAAGACTCGAATAACCTCTTTATTAGCTCGGAGACTATTTTTAGTCTTGCCCGTTTCCTTAATTAATTCGCATCAAGGAGGCAAAAGCTAATACCAATACCGTTTACCTAAATCTAACGTATAGGTAATTTATTTTTATTTTCAGAAGCTACCTGTATTAGTAAGTTTATAGTACATATCATACTGCGTGGCCGGGTCTTACGAGAGCCGACAGCAGCATTAATAACTATAACTACAAAGTATGTGAGTGATACTTTAAGAATATCAAAAGCTTCAACCCAATCGTACCGAATAAAATTGATCGAGAACGCCTAACTTCGTGCCTTGTGCCAAAGATGATCACGACAGTGACGGTAAACTCCGACTTACATAGATATTCCATACATTCGAATCAGCTCAACATTTGCGTAGCTAGGATATTGCCTCCTCGTGTGCTACCTAGTTCATATTTTATTATGGGACATTTCTATCAAGCAGTCTAGTTCGGAATGAGCGATAGCGCATAATGGTAATAAAATACTAGGCTAGGTTTCGCGATGTGGAAAAGGGATTAAGGAGGTTGTGGGTTCATTCGTCGGCATATGATGTCGATCATCTCTAGCGGACGGTTCCACATCTCGAGATGGGCCTTGAAATACCCCAGAGCTGAGCCAATCGGCTAACTTGGTACTGAGCTGTTCTGCAACCGGGTATCGCCAAGAACATTTTCGAATCCTCGTATTCACTGCCTTCGTATTGACCATATTGCACATAGGCTACTACATATGCCGATGATGTCAAGCCGGGTCTCTCCTTTACAGAGCCCCAAAGACTTCCAGTCTTGATAGAGAATGTTATAAAAGGTTCCAGTATCTCTCTCATTTTGACACCACATCCGATAAGTCTAACCATCTCACTAAACCTTCACATTACCCTTTCCATCACCCTTTACATCACTCTAATCAACACATCGCCCATCATGTTTTTCAAGAACCTCGCCCTCGCAGCCCCCCTCTTCGCCGGAGCTTCAACTGCTCTGCCGCAAGCAGCCCCGGGAGCGAAACTTTCACCTGACGCCAAGTTCTCGTTGATGGCTCTCCGGTCTGGTAGTGAGGTTCATTTTGCCAGCTTCGAAGCGGCTAAGGGTAGTGTCTTTGTGAAGCTTCCCAGCCAGAACGCCTCCTGCGATGCTGGCGCTGCCGACCACGCCACGTTCTATCTTCAAGATGGCGGTCTCTACCTCTACGCTGCCTCTGCAACACCGCAGCAGCTTTACGCCGATCGTTCAGGAATGGGTATGTTCAATAGCATTTTGCTCTCATTAATTACGGGGAATTAAATTAAATTTATGCTAACCTTTTAACTTTAGGCCAGGGCAAGCTCGGATATACAACTGGCGCCCAGCCGGCCCCTAGCAACGGGGAGAGGACTTCCTTCGCGCTTGATGAAAACAACGACTTGACGGTGAATGGAGCAGGCTTCCTTGCTTGCCCCAACAGCATTGATGGTGCTTGGAGTGTGTGGGTTTCTACGGGCGTCGAGAAGCCTGCTGGAAACCAAGGCTGCCTTGGAATCTCGGCACGTGCCGTAGAGGCTGCTAACCCTAACGGCTGCCTATACACACAGTAATTGGTTGAAGCGACGGCATCTATCAGGCTATATTTCTAAAAATCGAATCTACCTACCTAGATTAGATACTTTTACCTAACCTACTTAATTATTAGACTACTTTATTATTCTCAAATCTGTCGACAGGCTAAAGGCATCTTGTTTTGTGATTTGTAGTTGAGTGTCACTTACCAACCAGCACATGATAATCATCTTTTAAATCGGGTACCTACTGGTCTAAACAAAACATGACGACCTCTAGGGGCTATTTGTGCCCCGTCTGTTTATGTCTTCTAAGCTAGGGCTCGTGTTTCATCAAGGCGAGATTCCCTATTGCGTTCTACGGTAGTATCAAGGGGAAATAAACTATTCCTTGGAAAAAACCATTGCGATAATTCAGCAAGTGCGAGTATCAACACCAGAAAGGATAGGTTTGACATAGGTAAAGGGGTGATCTCCTGCAGTGTTAAAAACCAGTAGTTATGGATTAAGAGACTTAGGATAAGGTAGGCTCAAGCAAGTTGATGCTACCGCATGGAAAAGATAGGGATATACACTTCACAAATGAGGCAGCCCCGTTGGAATATAGGAAAACCAAGCAAGTACGATTCACTATGAGCTTTCTGAGGTTTTCAATATCGGCTATCTCGAAGTAATAAGGAATATCAGGGCAGAGTAAAGCCGGTTTCTGACTGATATCAATCGACTGGTATCACGAGGCAATGCTCCCTAAGTGGTTCCCGGGGTTACCAATGATTCATTGAACATTAGTCTACGATTCCCTCTCCAATCTCCTCCTTGGCATCGATGTCATCCTCCTGTGTGATGTCCTTCTTTCCAGACTCAGAGTCATCATCATCATTGGCGGTCTCCTTAGAGAGAGTTAGCTTCTTGCCACGAACGCGCTTTCTCGGAGTCGAAGTGATGGTATCGTCACCATCCTCCTCATCGTTGCGAGCAACCTTGCGCTTGCGTGAGGCGGGAGTAGCCTTGGCCTTGGGGGTACGCTTGGCAGGCGTGGCTGGACCCTCGTCACCATTCTCAATTTTCTTCTTCACCGCTGTGATAATAAGTTAGCATTAGCCATGAAATCCCCTTTAAAAACCCGGTAGTTGGTGGTATGATGGCCGTATATCTTTACATGTCACACAAAGAACTGGCAAAATGAGAAAAACTCACCGTAGAGGACATTCTGCACGCTTTTGGTGTTGGTGTAGCCTGTAAGCTTGGCAAGCTTGTCATAGTCAACCTGTAAAGAAGTACATGTTAGTATGCCACTTTACATGCGATATGCGGTAGCCTCGAGATAGTAGATCTGGAAAGCGCTTACCTCGGGGGGGGTCTTAAAGCACTTCCAAGACATGGCAAGCACTTGAGCCTCCTTCTCAGTGATGTCGTTTTTCTTGTCGATGGATGCCATGATGACAGCAGTACCGAGTTTGTGTTCAAGCAGGTTGTGAAGTGATGTTGTGATTGGGTATGTTGGTGATTGAAAATAGAAGTTGAAAATAGAAGAAAAGACGGGTATGGTGGGTGATGTGTGTGGTAGAAAGTGATGGTATTGTGAAGCGTACGGAAAAGTTGTAAAGAGAAGGAAGGTAGGCAACGATGAGAGTAGTGAAGAAGCTTTGACGGAGGGGTTCAAGGAAGAGGTAGATGCGCTTGGTTGATTGTGACAAGTTTGCTTTTTCTAATTGTATTTTCATAAGTCCTACGAAATGACTTGTAACTTGTCGATGCGTCTGCGCAAGGGTTATCAAGCTTGCCTTGCTACCAGTCTCATTATAGTACGCAAATAAATAGGTAGCTACCACGCAGCCTTACCCCTCGTGTTCTGTCAGCTACGGAGATATATATTAACGGGAATATAAACACTTGAACTGAAAAAAGTCCATGATTTCTTCTATGTTCTTCCATAAATAATAAAGATTGGGCAGCACTGCGGCTACATATTCAATTTATTTTTGTCATCTCCCACTCAACGTTCGCATCCTTTTTTTATTTATGAATATTATTTTTTAAACCTTCTATTGGGGCAATATGAACCGCGGGCATTCCGGATTTTGCTTAATTTGCCAAACATTCCAATGGTAGACAAACTGCACTAGGACATCACATGTACCCCCTATTAATGTTCGTTTGAGTAGTATGAATAGGTAGATGATTGGAAAGATGGAGACATCTAACCTGGTATCATGCCCCTCATCAGTTTTTCTAACTCTTGAATAATTCTTATAATACGAGATGACTCCCTATATCCATCCCAATCGTGTCTAGAGGCTGGGGAGGTTCATCGTTGTGCTTGTCCAAGCTGTTGCATTCTTGTTCGTATCCGTTTTTCCTCTTCATTTAGGTCCTCCAATTCCATTAGTCGAGTTCTTCTGGCATCTAATTTCGCCTTTTCAGCTATCAGATGTGCCATTTCCTGTCGCGCTTGCGGCTTGTCGGTACTTCCTATAGATTGGGCAAGTCCCTCATTCCCAGACATCTCAGCTACTGCTAGCTCACCGGTAGCTTCGTAGTGACTGATAGGATAATTGCCATTGGGACCTGAGTGCACCGGCATTGGCTGGCCGTTAGAAAACGTAGAATTTCGAAGTTGAGCTGACTGTGACCCTGGGACGGGTGGTAATTCCTGGCTGTTGGGTGTGTTTGGTCCGTTGATAGCAGTGACCCCTAACTGAGCAGGTTGGGGAACCACGGAATAATAAGTTGCGGCGCCAGTTTTAGGGTCGACATAGGTTGGATATCCGAGATAGGTAGTCTTGGGATATCCTTGGATCGGTTGTCCAGCAGGTCCCGATCCAGGCACATAAGGGTACTGATGAAATGGATACTGGCCTGGAGGCGGCTGCTGCATGGGCGGAGACTGACTGTCGGTCTGTCCGTTCGTACGCTTCTTTCGGTACCTGAGTATAAAGAAGATCGCCAATCCAAGACCTAAGAGACCAAACAGGCCCACGCCGACACCAATCCCAACTTGAGCACCAACAGATAAACCGACACCGTAGCTATCCGGATTTGCAGATAGCCCTGTCACTGTTGTGCTAGATGATGACTGGGTCCCTGATACGTCGGTCTCGCCACCCAAAGTTCCTACCGCCAAAGTTAAGCCAGGCGTCAAGGGATGCGTTTCTAAGATAGAAAGGTCACTCGACGCCCAACGTATCTGTATCATTACTTGCGCATCTATAATAAGTGCGTATCAGTGATTACTCTATACTATGGGAAATATAGGGATGTAGGGATGCAGGGATCGAGAAACTCTTGACGGGTCAAGGGGGGCCTTCAATATAACATACACGATAAGTCGGCGTTAGTTGCGTAGTAGTTCCATCCATCGGGAGTACATGAATAATCACTGGTAGGGTTAAGTCTTGTTATGACAAGCTAACCTAGCTAAGGGAAAACCTACCTCATAACGCAAAGAACTGCTGTTTCAGTGGGTTCGACGGATGGGCCTTGAAAGTTGCCGTATCGCGAACAGCCAACAGTAAACCCACTAGGACACATGGCGGGAGAATAGTAGTACGTTTCGAAGTAGCTAGCGTAGCCAGGAGGGGCGCATTCGGGATTAGAAGTCCAAAATATATCGATGTCCGTCGTAGGACGGGTAGAAACCGGAAAGCAGCCATCGGAAGGCGTCCATATCGTAGTCAGCGCGGCTACAGGTGGTGTGCCGTCATGGTTAAGAGAAGTCGCCTGCGGTGCTAGAGCGGTTGGCGTGATCGTCGTTGTGAGCGGTGCGAATCCCATCGTAATAATTATGGGGATAGATCGGAACGAATGACAGCCCACAATGCAACGATTTGAGGCGTGATGAATGAATGCTCTTCGTCACATAGAGACCAGGAAATAGTTTCAACTAATTGTTAAGAATAAGAGGAGCGAGAAGAAGAGAGAAGACATTTTCTCAAATTCTTTTCTCTGACCGTCTCTGTCGTCCTATGGCGTCTCAAGACCATTTAGTCAATTCTCGTCAGAGCAGACAGGGCTTAAAGCCTTCTTGGCACTGTTAGTAACTACAGAGTCGAGTCCAATGGCAGTGATGCTAGGAGACAAGGGCTGGGGAATAAAGTCAATAAAATTGGAGCTGGTTGCTTAATTCAGTCGCCAACTGACTTTTTTTTTTTCCTTGCATACCTAGGGTAGCTTACTTTAGTAGCACTGTAAGCGCTTTTTGTACAGCTCATCTCATCCATGATGTTACTAGGGTCAAGATATCTGATGCAGGTTCTCAGCATGTAGACGGCAGTCTATTGTTGCGATATAGATCGTTCAAACTGTTGGACTTATGTAGAAACAATGCTGCGCTTCGTATAAGAGATGATCTATGTCTGGATCTGAATATAGAAAAGCCAACAAAATATGGGCGGATGACAGGGGTTATTTCAGCTGTGGTCATAAACTAAGCGAGGGGTGCTATGATAGGACCGGGAAATTAAACATCTTATTGCATTAAATCTCTAGATAACGTGAGTTGCTCTATATAGGTACCTATATATCGAGTAGACTATTACTACCCGCATATCCTCTGACGTTGTTTGCTCGGTCTTCTAATCCTATCACCCTACACATGATAATAATCGTGGGGCAGGCGGTGGGGAGCTCTGATAGCTGGATCATACAGTCTCGATCTGAATATGCGTAATACTTATTATAGCCAATTAGGTGGTCACTAGGCTTGGTTGGTAGGATATACGGATATACTCGAACTATCAGGATACCTAGATCAACCGATTGGTATATATAAACCACCTCTATTAAGTAGCTCGTATACTTGCCTCCTCGCTATTACTTATACTGTCCCTACAATCTCTCTATTTGAGATTTCTAGATTACGTGTAATCGTAGGCGCGCCCCGGCACCTTGCGCTCTGCTGCCAACTCTTCCGCACTGATAGGGACGCGTTCTGCTGCAGAAGGATATTCGGTGCTACCCTTCCCTCTCGTGCCTTTCCCCACGCCTTCAGGCAGGTCCTCCCCCTTCTGACGGACGCTATCACCAACACTCGCCCCAGAACCTTCTAATCCAACATGCTCCTTCTTTCGTCGGCTGGTATACTCACCATGTAGATTGCCGTGCAGCTCAGCTCCCGATTGGCCCCGAATTGGCTTACTCAGACCGGTATAGACGGCTTGAGATGTGGTGCCGCCGAGGCTATCCACGGGATCGGTCAATCTCTGGGACTCGATATTCGGAGCCTCGGCTGGTGTCTCGCTATCGGGTCGGGGTTGGAATGTGTTTTCCCGAGGCGCGGTGCCAAGGGGATGTTTTTCAGCGTGGAACTCTGGCGCGGCATCGTTGCCTACCTTAACACCGGGTTTATGCCCGGTAGTTGTGAGAGGTTCCGCGGGCGGCACGCGGCTATGGAATTCGCCCTGATTAGACATGGATTCTACATTTCTTACTGCCGACATTGTAAACGTGTAGTAATAAAATAGAGAGAGAGAAAGATCTTGGCATAGGTTTCTGGATGCACTTGAACGAACTAATCAGACCCATCTAAAGCTGTGGCCGTAGACCTTCATATATATGTAATAAGAGGATAGTTAAGGATAAGCGAGGTAACGTCACGAAGCTACAATGAGGAGATCTGACATAACACCGTTGCATCGGTGGAGGACAAACGAAAGGAGAGGAAAGCGATTAACTCTGATTCATAGAGAGTGATAATGTATGGCGTTTGCCTTCTGCATCGCGATCGACGTGATGACAACATCATCGGAGCTTTTGCTGCGGATAGCAGATATTGATATGCGTCACCTAATGATAGGTATCAGTTACCTTGATGCGTGTTTTCTTTCGATCTAGAAGTCTTCGTGATGGTATTTATCCGAATCTATATTGTAGCTATTATAGTCGTTAGATAAGTGTATATCAAAGTTGAGACTCTACAAACAGTAAATATACGCCTTTATCCTCATCCCATGGAAATCGAAGGGCATATGTGAGATTCTTCTCTTTTACATAAGTCAGAGCGTCATAGTGTATATATAGGTAGGTAGGCATCTGACATGGGATTTCTTTGTACATACATAGATAGTATTCCGTGACGGTAGATGGTTGGCTGGCCAACCACAGATCGACGATTCACTTGTGGGCCAAGAGATACCGAGCCCCTGGGGCGGTTGTACGCAGGCATTTAACGGCATAGCTAACATTTTAAACTTCTATGCTTACTTCGTATAGTGTTTCGTGTATCTGAATAGTATTTTATAGCAGCCCTCTCATTCTAAAATGTGGAAGCTACCAGGACATAGGGCTTTCATAAATGGGATTATAAAAATAAATATCTAAACTTAGGTACATATGGGTATTATGAACATAAGGTCCCGTCGGCGGTTGCTGGGCCAAATCCGCTACCGTCGATTACAATGTTAACGAATAGAATGGGCTTACATATGTATGTCGACACTTGCGACACTTAAAAGGCGCTTGAACTACGACTTTAGGTACCCAGATATTCGGTTAGATTTGGCAGGTACTTTTTAATACGATGCAGGAACCAAAACAGGGATTCAAGCAGTTTAGATCAAGGAGGGACCAATACGAAGACTGCAGGGCCAATCAGGAAATACCTTTTCGTATACATACCTAGGTACCTAGCGCATACCGAAAACTGGGAAAAGTTACGGTTACAGCTTTCCCATGCTGACTTTTTGGCACTTATTCACTACAGAGTTGTATTATTGTTGCAAGTATTTTCCTGATACCTAGGTACCTATGTACCTAGGTAGGTACTGGATGTTGAACCTCAGGTACAATACCTTTCCTAGAATAGAACTAGATCGGCACTAGTTCTGGGCACATGTAACCATACCTAACGTAGTACCTACACCAATACAGGTGTAGTACCTCAATAATAAATCTACCTCAACTTTCTATCACCTGCTGCTTCCTATTGTTTGTCCTTTCGCCTCCTACTCTTTCCTGCCTTGGCCTCTCTTGTACTATGTATGTATGCATATACAATTAAGTACTGTGATTTAAGTGCACTCAGGTACATAACTCAGATAGGTACATCGTTGATATCTCCCGCGCATGTCTATGTTGTTTACATGTACTAACATTAACCCACTTGATCAGGGACCGGACCTTTTTGAGTCCCACTTCTAGTGCCGGTGACGATAGCTACTTACATATGTAACTGCACTTAATAATATTGAATTGAGCCTTGGAAGGTCCCTCACCTCACCCTCGTTCTACTTTCTGAAATCATGAGTCGTCGATACTCCTTCAATTCTGAACCCGACGAGCGCGACCCCCTCGACAAATCAAACGACCCGAACTATCGCTACGCATATTCCAGTCGCCAGCAACACTCTCCCTCCCATCCTTCCTCGCCAACATCACAGTCTCATTTTTACCAAGATTTCCCCGCTTCCTCTTCCGAGTCGTATCGCCATCCAGCACACCCTTCGCCCACGAGAGCATCAATACATCCCGGCGCTCACCCCGACTCAGCATATAATAGGCTACGCCAGAATAGAAGATTTAGCGGAGGGGTAGAAACAGTGGTTGCGCCTAGGACCGGGATTAGAGCTGGAGCTGGAGCCGGAGTTGGAGCCGGAGCCGGAGCCGGAGCTTTAGCTGGGGAAGCCTATGCTGCGGGTCACCCATCTTTATCTGGACCCGTCCCGCCGTCCCACCGAGAGAACAATACATCTACTCGGGGACGCGACCCCCCTCAATCTAACATCACCCCGGGTGCTGACAATTTTAGCGAGGCTGCCGCTGGTGGCATGTCTGGTTTAGCTATGAGTGTTGCTGATAAGAACGCACGAGAAAGTGGACTAGAAGCTATGAGACAAGCACAGCAATATAAAGAACCTCAGCGCCAGCAGGCCTCTTACACGAATGCCTACCAAGCTACACCATCGGAGCAAGCTCCCTACGACGAGCCTCGTACTTACGCATACGATCGGAGCTATGACACGTCGCCAGGATACGGTCCCGGACCCTATCTTCCATCCGGTCAGGCTTACAATTCCTCGCCCAGTCTAGCTCCATTAGCAACTGCGGCCGCGCCTCATTCGGGCCAAGGGACACCAACCTGGGGCATGCCGGGCTACTCTGGCGATCCGTTCCGGGATCTTCCTATGGCATACGGCCAAAGGATGGATCCTAGGCTCGGTCAGTTCAATCCAAACGACATTGACGATGACGGTGATGACGGCCTCGAATACCGGCGTTCCACTCGGAATAGCATACTGAGTCTAGGGGGATCGAGTCATCGAGGTGGCAACAGCGTTACGGCCGGTGTCGCTGGTGCCGTGGCCGGCGGCGGCGTAATAGGTGGACTCATAGGAAGGAATCGGAATAGCGGTATTAATTATGACCCAGTACAGAATACGAGCTCTGCTGGCAGGCTTGGCGACGTAGGTGGTGGATATAACACGGACACCGGGACAGAGAAACAGTCCGAATGGTTGTCCAGTCAAAATAACAGCCGCAAAAAGTGGAAATGGTTCATTCTGATTGTTGTCGGCCTTGTTATCGCTGGTGGAATAGCAGGTGGCGTCGTAGGTGGAATCTTGGCTAGTAGAAACAAAGGCGGCGGTAGTTCGGTCAGTAGTGGAGTCCAATCCGCTGAGTCAGACACAGCTATGAATGGGGATCTAGACGACACATCTAATGAGATTCAAGCACTGATGAACAATCAAAACCTGCACAAGGTCTTTCCCGGTGTCGACTACACGCCTATCAACGTTCAGTTCCCGGATTGCCTTAAGAACCCGCCTTCCCAGAATAACGTTACCCGAGACGTTGCCGTCCTCTCGCAGCTCACAAACACCATTCGACTCTACGGCACTGATTGCAATCAAACGGAGATGACGATCCATGCTCTACGACAATTAAAGCTCGAGAATGATATCAAAATATGGCTCGGAGTATGGCAGGACGGAAACGACACTACAAACGAGCGCCAACTAAGCAAGATGTGGAACATATTAGATAAGTACGGGGCCGACCCATTCAAGGGACTCATCATTGGCAACGAGATCCTGTTCCGACAGCAGATGACCGCTTCAGAGCTTAGTGAACTACTGGACTCGGTGAGAACCAACTTAACTAAGCATGACTGGAATCTCCCCGTCGCCACGAGCGATCTCGGCGACAACTGGGATTCGCAACTGGCCGGTATGAGCGACTACATCATGGGAAATATTCATCCTTTCTTTGCCGGTGTTAATGCTAAGGACGCCGCTTCTTGGACGTGGCAGTTCTGGGAGAACAAGGCCCACGGATTCTTCAAGACGGAAACCGAGAAGAATATTATCTCCGAGATCGGCTGGCCGACGAAGGGTGGAACTAATTGTGGTGACGACAAGGTGACAGACTGTCCTAACGGATCGGTGGCCGGCATCGACGAATTAAATACGTTGATGGAGAATTGGGTTTGCCAGGCCCTCGAGAATGGGACCAACTATTTCTGGTTTGAGATGTTTGACGAGCCTTGGAAAATTAGTTTCGATACGCCCGGAAAAGAATGGGAGGATCAATGGGGCCTCATGGATGTCAATAGGAACCTGAAAGAGGGCGTCAAGATTCCGGACTGCGGAGGTAAAACAGTTTGAACGGTAGGGGGAAGCTGTTTACCTCTGTCCTTGAAACGGGCACCGTGATCGACTTGATAGACAAGCGGCCGTGAATAGTAGCCTGGCTAATACTCTTGACGGGATACCTTACATGATCTTTTTGAACTCGAAAACGGTGCAGGGTTGTATTATACTAAGAGACGACGGTATAGGCAGGGGTTATACGAGATGCGGCGGAGATGGGAATTAAACGGGTGGCATATGGATGGATGTCTCGGCTCAAGTGTCATTTATGTTTGATGATTCTACCGACACGATTCCTGGTGCAGAGGATTGAGAGAACAGAGCATTAGAGATCATCAATGGAGGGTATGACTACCTAAGTGGCGGCAAGGTGGTAATTACCATCGTGTGCGCATAGCATTATCATGGGTTACAGTTCTGTCATTACGGTGTTGCGGAGCCTCCAGTTCGGTTCGATATATATTATAGGCTTACTCGGAGACTTAGACTTTCTAGTCTGTCAGGGGCCGAGTTAACTGCGTTCACTTTGAGGTACCTATGAGGTAGATGATCAATACGTTTACAAGCCATTAACTACGATTGCATATGAGTTTTCTATACATTATGGATTTATGTAATTCCATTCCCAGCTCGTCTATACGTTTTTCCGCCCTGGATGTACTTAGGTACCTACATATTTGACATATGCAGATAACAACGTCACATGACTTGGTGTTGCTTTGGCGATCTGCACTTACAGAAATGTGGAATGCTCCATCATCTTCTGTCCCTCCTTTTTATGAATCCCTTCTACAATACTCTAAGCGCCGGCACATCTCTCATTCCCATCACGAGTAGACTACATAGATTCGTCATTTGAAATTACGCAATCTATACAAGATGGGCACACAACCTGAACTTAACGCCTCGAACGGTGTGCATACTTCGAGAAAACGTAAAACCTCTCTCCCTATCCAAAAGAGCGATGACTAGGTCATGTCAGGAGTTCTTCGTGCACGCTTCGACCTAGTTTATCAGCTTGCCTTTCTAGCCACTGAGCTGCGGGACATATTAGAGAACGCGCCTCCCATCGAGACGGAAATCCAATCCAGCGCAGAGACGTACGACAGGAACCGCAAATGCTTTGATGACGACTACCCAATCTGCTTCACACCTTTTGAAGGTACAGAAGACACCGTCTATTGCCGTGCGACCTGCGGGCAGAATATCCATAGATAATGTTTCGAGTAGCAACGTGCTATAACCCTACATACCCGGATACCCAGGTCTCTACGTACGTACCCAGGTGTGTGCCTTATACGCTACCTAAGATATGGTTATAGACCATAGTATCTACTATGATGGACCGCGTCGAGGTACAGGTTATAGGAGGTGGTGAAGTGTGCACTCGCCATCGGACTCTCGGCGTGGTTTCTGTTGCAATTAGATTGTTTCAGTGTTCTTGTAGTCCAGCACACCGCGGCGTGGAGTTCCGAGACTACTTAACCTAATATCGCAAACAGCACGGGGGATATAGTATGACAGCCAGCTGAGCCTCCTGACCCCGTGGAATCCAAGACTAAACATATTTCCGGTGCCAAGGAATATCATACGCTGAGTATATGCCAAATAAGAAAATCGCATCGGATCTCCTCCCCCCCATCCATCATATTCCGCCACAAACCGCCCTTGGTACACTCCATACCCGTATTATCTTGCCAAGCAGTCAATACTAGTTAGCTGAGAGCAAATGTTTAAATTATCAGCTATAGACTAGCTAGTCGCCCTTTCCACCAATACTCGAAGATACCACCAGCCTCTTACCTAGCTTTTTCAGATCATACCAGTATCTTTGAGGCCTCAATACCTCTCCGTCCCTGGTTGAAGAGTCAAACAGAGAACTAGAAAGTCATTAGGTCATCCTCTCCAACGTCACTACTCAGCCCCACCGCAGTATCGCCCTCCACTTCGTTGTCGCTCTTCCTCGTAACGGAGGTTGTGTCGCTATGTGTGGGTAATTCCCATTCCGGCTTGTCAGCCCGATATCCCGCAGGCACGGTCGTAATATTAGAGGGCCACGAACTTTCTCGAGGTTGCGAATGAGAACCCAATGCAATCCCTCCCGCCTGCAATTGTGATGGTGCTACGTCGGTGTTATGTTGCTGTAAGCCACCCGGGGCTGGGGATCTGGCTGAGCCGTATTTAGCCGGTGTATTGGGGATACCATCATGACCAAGGTTCAACGAACTAGTGCCGAGGACAACTGTCTCTACGCCATCCTTGAAGGTAAGGACTCCATTGCTGTTCTTCTCAGGTGACGGTGAAGTCCTAGCAATGATACTTTTCCCGACATTGCGCACACCATAGTCGTCTAACGTTACTGGCCTGAAGATATCTTGGATTGTAGTGCCAGCGAGCGGATGCGATGATCCCGCTAGAACTTTTCTAGATGTCTTCTCATCATCCATTTGAGCATTGAAGGCGGCCCACTCATACCCCAGTCCTAGTCTAGAGCCAAGGGGGCGTCGAGTACCTGGTAGATTGCCTCTACCACCCAATGCTGCACTCTCGCGGCGTTGGTCCAGGCTTATGAACGGTGCGACACGGGATTTATCATAATCCACGCCTCGTTCCTCCACGCCGAGGGTCCCATCCTCAGGTAAAAACTCATCGTGAGGATAAGCGCCAGTGAAGTCAGCACAGCTACATAGACAGCCATCGCCACAAAACCGCTGACATCTATGACCACACAAGAGGACTCGTTCGCATGGTTCTTGACATATCAGCTTATCATGGGTTGCCCTAGAACGATGAGGTTAGCGTTGCTGCAATGAAACTGCCTTGGGAACATGACGTGTGTACATACCAATGGCATTGACGTCCGCATAAATGGCCACAACTAAGCCGATCTGGACATTTCAGATCGCAACCGCCGTGACAGTTAACCCAGTCTTCTGGGTGAGACATCCAAGTTGTCCTGTGATGCTTCTGGCATGTGATTGGAAAACGAGACTCATCTCCAAATCGACCCTGCGCTACAAAGACTTCATATACTTTTCCCCACATGTCCCATGATGTTTCGCTCGCATACGCCAGATTAACTATATTGCCAAAGACGTAAAAGCCGCGGCGAGCTCGACTAATTGAGACAACGCCACGGTTCTTATCTTGGAGGAAACCCGCTTGGTGCGGTCCGTCACTGCCCCTGCTTCTCACTAATGACAAAATAACAATGTCGTTTTCCTCTCCTTGGTACGAGTCCACCGTGAAAACGTTCGTAAAGGGCGCCCATCGCTTCATCTTGCTCTTGAACTGAGTGATAATTTTCTTCTTTTGACCTCGGTAGAAGGTCAAAACGGTGATTTGGCTTGCTGATATACCATTCATGAGTAGATAGTCTATGAAGTGGATTATCATCTCGGCCTCTAGGATATTGAACTTGCTCAAGTTCTCATCCTGGCCCTCGGTCCAATAATGATGGAAGAAGAAAGAAGGGTACATCATGCCAGGAATGGGCGGTCTAGCATGGCCCTGGGTCACCACGGGATGATCTTGAAGGTCTGGATAAAATGGGTTCAATATTTCACGCAATGTCGGGATCATTCTCCGCTGCATGTTCAGAAAGGTGAATGGCATATTCAGATATACGAGGCGTTCAAACATGGACACACGTATATAAAACGGATGCCCCCCTAGGCCGGGCGTGTCGCTATGCGGAGCCAGCTGTTGATGATCGCCGACTAAAATAAGCTGCTGAAGCGATTCATACAATGCCGAAAGGATATTTGCCTCCCGTGTCTCAGCTGCCTCCTCGATTAACATAGTGCGCGGCCGGAGGGCAGCTAGCAAGCCACGATACTTGCATAATCCCGTGGTAGTGCACCCTATAATCTCAATCTTCCGCGATTTGATGCATTGTGTATCTTTGTACCAGCGGTTGATCTTGAGATTCTTTGTGATTCGAGCGTTGTCGGCAAGTACATCGCGGAATTTTTGGCGATGCCGTAACAGTAGCTCCTTCTGCCAGAACTGATAGACAGCACCGCGATGCTTAACGTCTACGTCCCACAGATTCGGCTTACGAAGCTCTCTGCGGACGACAAGGTCGTCCTCGGTATAATTGTGAGTATTTAAACCTGTCCATAGATGCTCAATTGGCAAAAACCTGCCTTCTATACGGCCAGTGTTCTCATACTCATCATCAACACAGTTGTCGAGCTCCATATCGTAATCTTCCACGTCTATATCAACACTATCATGGTCTTCGAATGCTTCGAATTCGGGATCTTTCTCGTCTTGCCGCTTCGCCTTCACTAATTGATCTCCTAACCACTCCGCCAACAAGCCGGGTGGCTGGTCTTGTGAGGATGACGTGTCGGCCCATTCCTGTTCGGCAAGAAGAGACTCGAGCTGATTCTCCGATATGATACCTGTAGATCTCAAGATATTAGGATCGATCAAGTTATCGGGGAAGACATTGTGGATGATATTTTCCAACTCGGCGATGTTCCTCTTACGAGCCGACTCGAATGTTTTGAAATCTTTGTCTACTCGTGGGTTCAATAGTGTCCTGGCGCGCTTCCGGAGGTTGTACATGCTATAACGTTTGATCTCCTCGTTCTGAGTGCGTCCACCAAGCCGTACGACGTTAAAGTCGGCATTAATGAGTTGGAGCAAAATTTGATCAACAGCATGGTTCGTCTGAGCCGCGACAATAATTACATTGCTACCTTTCTCTTGGCTTTCCAGAAGGATCCGCAGAGCCTGCACCGAAGTGAATGTCTTCCCGGTCCCAGGGGGACCCTGGACAATAGCCAACTCTTTAGTGAGGATGCGATGCACAGCGCTGAGCTGAGAATTGTCCAGATTGGTATACCGAGAAAGCTGGCCGTCAAAGCCTTCGAGCACAGAGTAGTTCCGAAGAGGCTCACAAACCTCGGCTATCTTCGCGTGTTTCTCACTCTCTGTCATTGACGAGGAATCTGGGATGTGATGCACGAGTGACCTAATATCCCGAAGAGGATTGTCTTCGACATACTTTGCAATGAGATCACTCTTGTCTGCCTGGACCAAGTACTTGTCAAGCGGGGTCTCGTTGTTAGCGACGTGCTGTAGGCCAACCATGCTATGACGAACAGCTTCAAAATAACCATAACGTGTCTCTACCATAATTAGTTCTTGGTTCGGATCCATTATGGCATCGCTAAGATTAGCCCATTGAAAGTAAATTGTTGGTGGATTTTGGTCGAGTCCATCTCGAATGCGGTGTTCTGAGATGATAGCGGGCATACAGATCGTCTTGAAATGATCTTTTGCGGTCGAGATGGCGACCAATGTTCCAACCGTGAGTCGTCGGGTCTGACCCCAGCGGATCTTCTTGCCAGATCTCTCAGTCGAGAATTGGACCTGGCACATAGGACCAAGACGGGTCATCAAGTAGCCCCGGACAAAAACCTTCAGACGAGCAGCTAGTTAGTTAAGGTAAAGCTACCTGGCAACTCCAGGAGAGGCGCACGAGGCTTGACTTACTTTAGTGTAGATGCATGTCTCTCTATCATCCATCATGGAAGGTTTAACTTTTAGCTTTCTAATCGAGTGGCGTAGCATAGTGATACTTTCTTCCCTCTGGAGACGGTAATGCGTCTCGAGATAAGTATTCTTGTTCTCCCATGGCTCTTTCCATGTGTTAGGCGGAAGATTTCGTATCTCGGCCAGTTGCTCCTGATTATCCCAATCGGGGTTAAGGTCCCGACTCGTAGGTAATTCGGGGTAGCTTCGCCATTCTTGACCAGGGATAGGAGGTGGGCGGTCCTGATCAAAGTTGATATGGTGCATAATGATGTCTAACTCGCGCTAGGTGTACCTATCATTAGCACACAGTGAAAGCCATTAAACAGCGGTTGTGCGAAAAATATACCTGAGTATCAGCATCATCGGGGCTGCTGATGTCGCCCATGGCTGCCTAGGTAGCTATTAAACCCTCCCGGATAGTCGGTAGTGCTTGAGCAGATATCGTGCCTGAAATATCGGGCTAGTGTGATTAAGATGTGATTAAGATCTGAGTGCCCGACGCCTATTGGCGAGAAAGCATCTACTGAAGTCAAGGTTCACAAAGCTTGTACGCAAGGAGGAACAGTCCAACTGATGGTTAGAGGCTGACATGAAAAAAAACATGAAACAGAAGGAGAGAAGGAGAAAGAAAATCGTAGGACAATAAATATTGGATCGAGTGTTTTGTCGCATATAGGACAGTTGCCTTAGTATTTTATCGTTGCCCTGTTGTTGCCGTGTTGTTGACGACGGGATAACCGCAGTTGCTTCGATATTGAGTGCAGTTGTTATCATTGCCCTTGTGCAAGTAGATAAGGAAGTAACTTAGGGTTAATAGGGATGTATACCTTAGGTACTTGTAGGGCTACCCGCGTACCTTCCTTAAGTGCTTTAGGTACCTAGATTCAATGGTACATATGTAAACATGGTACATATAAGTCCTGTAAGTTAAGGTAGGCAGGTAGTATCTTATGCATATAGGTAGGTACCTCATGAGCTATAGACATCTGAGGTAGGTAGAGAAATTATAGCAAGTTGCTTTGAAATGCTCAAACTAGAAACTTACGGTACTATCTTTTCACTGGGTACCTACATATAGTACATATCATGCCTCAAATATTATCCGGCACATTTGGCAAACGCGTCGGCATCCTACCTATAGTCTCTTTGTTAAGTTCGTTAAATTAAAACAAGTACCTAAGGTATCATGTCTTGGATGATATTGTAGAGATTGAATAACAAAGGTTACGAAACCTCACCACCCGGTTATGTAGACAAACTTAACTTTACGTGTTTGTGAGCACCTGTGTTTGCAATGTACAGAGCTATAGAAGTGTTTGTCCCAATAGTCATATCTTTATCAAATACAACAAATAAAGACCAAGTAAGGTAATGGCATCGTTTATGTGTATTGAAGTGTATTATATCTTCATTACATTAGGTACCTAGGTAGGTAGATAATTTACTTAAATAAAATTGTCTGTGAACGTTGAAAATACGCCTCTCAACTATAACGGCAGGATCATGGCTACTGCGGTTTGGTATGTGCTTAGGGGGTAATATTATCTTATATAAGGCAAAGTTACTAGCAATGGGGATTTCTTGTTAAAAACACAATAATAGAAGTAAGTGTTTCCCTCGATTATATTCATCTACGAAGATGCCTAGGTACCTACTACGGTTGTTATCAAAGTTATAGAGCTGGCTCGAATAACAGGCCAACATATTGCTCACAGACACCTATCATTTCCTTATGTAATACCAATTCTACCTTTTTTTAAATGCTTCCGGTAATTTATACACCCCCCCAATCTTATTTAAATTTCTATTGTGGTATGGTTAAACTAGTCAAATACTATGTAGTGTTCTTGGCTCGCTTGATATCTTACGTTGCTATTATTGCTTGCCAAGAACATATTGAATATATTGGTCGGGTATCTTATATGGTACATTCGATATCCAGGTACCCAGGTATGTGCTCTATTAATCAGACCATCACCCCACCCCAACTAGGTGGTCTATCTTCTAGTTTGGTGCCCCATTCAGACTCCTGGCTTCCAAGCACTAGTTCCATCGTCCACCCCTCGTTAAAAAGGGAGTGGCTGATCCAAGATTTAGTCCACGGTTTGCCATTTACTGTTACGTTCTGTATGTAGATATTTTTGTATTCGGCATCGAATCCGACGGTTTTGATCTGTGCCGTTCTCCCCGTCAGAGGACTCGTTATGTTGATTCCCTGAAAAAATGGCGCCGAAATGAGGTACACATCTTGCCCAGATATTGGGAAAAGGCCTAGCATCCCAAATACGACGAATGCACCCATCGAACCTGAATCGTCATTTCCTGGGAGTCCCCCGTGAGACGTGTTAAATGCTGACGGGATATAGGTGTGTAGCCGTTTTGTGGATAACCCAGGACGACCGGCATAATGATACAAATACACTGTCGAGAAAACCGGCTCGTTGGAGATATCAGCTAGTCCTGACGTGTGAAAGAAGTCGAGGCGCTGAATAAATGGCTCTTCGGTCCCCATCAGCTGGATTAAGACAGACATCGAATGTGGGACAAGGCTGTTGAGTTTGTCAGTTACATGGAACGCTTCGGTTGGGATGAATTTATTACTTACAACTGGTATTGCCAAATACTATCGAGTTGAGAGTCAGCAGTCACCGTATTTAACAATTTAATTAAGAGCATATGAAAAGAAATGTGTCACTGTATAAATTCCCACACACTCTCTCACTTTAAACCAGAAGATAGTAAGCTTGAGATACTGACCTAGCCTCAAAGGTCTCACTAGGATTGGTGGTGAGCGAGCAAAAGCTTGCAAGCGCCGAACATGCAATCGGGTCTTGAAATCCCCAAGTGCCATTTTGGTACTTTGGCTCCACGAAGCCCGTAAATCCAGTATCATTTCCATCGATAACTGAGCGCTGGTCTGATTTCCATAGATACTGCCAGTTAGCACTTCGTAGAACATATTTGTCGTATAAATCATCTCTCCAGAGCCCTCGCGCTAACGTGGCGAGGCAATAGTCATTATATGCGTATTCGAGCGTCCTCGAAATACTGCGCGAGTTAGTACCGAATCCTACCGGATCAAAATCCAGGTAAGGAATATATCGGAGATCCTTCCAGCTTCGTAGGCCACCCCGGCCGTGATATGCCCATTCCAATGGTTCAACTTCGGCGTCCTGGATGATAGCCTCGAGCGCAACGTCCCAGCTGATGCCTGTAAGATTTTTGACGTAAGCATCGACAAGCACAACATCTGCATTTGAGCCACCCTGTATGAGATAGTAAGTATTTTATATGTGTAAAAGTTTAATGAGAACAGACATGAAATAAGAGGTATGTCGACAAACACTAAGATTATTAAACAAATCCAGATTCCCTTACCTGGGTCCAGCCGTTGCTGAGTGACCTGAATACGTAGGATGTTGGGTTAGTTCATTCCTGCGTAAGTTGATCCAAGTAATAAAATCTTACATGTGACAATCGGGTAGCCAGCCCTCGTGCTTATAAATATCTAAAAGCGAGTTGACCATCTGAATTTGCGCGTGTGGATCAAGGATGGTGAGGAGCGGATGCTGAACGCGGAACGAATCCCAAATGCAATAGAACGAGTCGAAGTATGGTATCCCACTATTCCAGTACGGGTTTTCGTCGGTATAGTTCTGGGGAGAGATCATAGTGCGATACAGACCGCTCCAGAAACTAGTTTGGAATTCATCACTGGCACCGCCAGCATCAACAGATATCGGACTCAGCTTCTCTCGCCATGCATCTTCCGCGTCGGCCACGAGCCCGTCGAAGTCGTTGAGCGGGCTGGGAATTTCTTCTGCTGCCCGCCGGCAAGCCTGATCGGCATTTACGAAACTTATTCCCATTCTAGCGGTTAAGGTATTGTTAGCCAGCTTGCCGAATCCAACCCACCCTCCGGCTTCTAAATAGAAGAGGTTGAAACCACGAGTGACGAAAAGTTCTTTCGGATCCGTGCCTGCTCGATTATTGACCCATACCCCGTTTTCAATGACATCGCCGCCAAAGAAGTCCACGCAGAAGTGCATCACGTACGACCCAGGTCCGAAACTAGGGAGGAACGTGCCATTTCCCTTCAGCCGCCCGCTTTCGGCATCTACGCTAACTGATGCATTTTGGCGGCTTTTCCATAGGTCCGTCAAATCGAGTAGGATTAAGGGATACTGATCGTCCCCCGTCGGAAATTCGAACTTATATAATGCAGCGTGATCGCTAGAGGTCATTGTGGCCTTTATCCCCGAGACTAATTCCACCCCGAAGTAGCCCGGTCGAGCAACCACCGATTCCTCTATGTAGTGAGTGGCTCTCTCACTTATGAGGAAGTTACAATTATTCACGTCACCCCCAGGACATATCTGGGGGAATAAAGGAAAGTTTCCTAGGCTAGGGTTCCCGCCCGTGCCGCTGTCATGAACTGCTGAGAAGCCCGTGATACTTGAGCCATCGGTTGCGAACCCCCCGGTATTCTGTCCATCCACATCCGCGACAGGCTTTGCCAAAGCGTATGGCCCTGCAATGTTATGTTTAGTAGATGTCTACTGGGAAGTAGGAGGACATACTTGTGGCACCTGCGAATACGTTTCCGCCGTTAGTGCTACCAATAAGAGGATCTACGAATTGGAGCACGTCGACACAGAGTGCAGCGAGAGGAAAGATCGTGGAAAAAAGGTAAATAAGTTGCGGGGTCACGAAAGACAGTTGCCGACACGCCATCCTAAGTCAATAAGAACCGCAATGGTAGGACTACGAATGATATATCCTTGCTGCAAAAATCGATGCAGAAGAGAAAATCAAAGCCGGCAAGTCCAGAATAACACTGCGTCAAATGTACTCCCGAGACGGTGGCGTTTTGCGACCTTCCTGAATTGGGTGACCTCACGAACGTTACCTAGACGGCCATGCGGTGATCTTCATAATTGTGGAGAGCACTGATATTGTAGCATTTAAACAAAGAAAATCTCCCTACCTATACCAAGTAGGTATTCCTTCCCACGGAATGCAGCGTCCCAAGTCCAAACAAATTAGAAGAGCGCGAAGAGACGAGCCAGTATAGCATCGAATATCCCCAGGGTTACTTACCTAGCTTATCCGTAAGGGAGCACTGTTAATATCTCTCAAATCGTTTCTACATTGATATAACATATTGTGTTGCTTTGACTACAATACGTACCTAGGTAGTACTACCTTCATGAGGGGTTGTAAGCAAGGGACTTTGTCCACGGAATCCGGTAAATCAACGACTTACCTCCCATTAAGGTACATTATTTAACAACGATGTAAATAAGGTCTTTTCACGGCGATTCTGGTAGGCGATTGAGCTTTCACTATTCGAACCAAATGTAATTAAGAAGAGCATATATTTACAGGTACTTTGGGTAAGTATCCGTAAGTTGAGAATTACACCTAGTTCCGAAAACCATCAATATTACGAGCAGTAAAAAGAAGGCGAAGCCCGCTATACGACAACTTATCTGCTTAGGTGTAGCACGAACCGGAATACTAGGTACTGACGCCAAGTTTACTATCACGGTCATTGACCTCGGCCTCGGCTCTACGCTGGGCAACGTCACCGTAACCTACCTGGAGTCAGGGACCGAGTATTACTCATCGTATTCACATGATGAAAAGGGTCAAGAATTTAGATCTGATATCAAACTTTAAAGCTCATCCTCTAGGAGATTTTAAGGGACGAAGAGAGACATGGGTTTCCCTTACAGCAGCACGGGGAAGCCCCTCGTTAGCATCCCGGCCTGTCATTATCGGATGATGATAGTGGTCCAAACTAACCTTATTCTTTTGACTCCCGCTCCTCATCCGAAAAGACTACCCAAAAGTTCGGCATACGCCTCTTCCTACTGCGGGCTGCGACGTCTTGATGGTCCGTTCCACGCGTATTTTGTGTGTTGATGACGAATAGACCGTGAGGAGCAAATCCCTTTGCTAGATCAAAACCCCAAGGGGGGGGGGGGGCAATTAAAAGGTTTACCAATAAATAAATGACGTGTACGCCGCCTCTTTATCGTGGCCTCTGATATTGGCAATATGAAATGGGATTACGATTTCGCAACGTAACCATCACGGAGTACATGACTTATTATTTGGCGAGGAATATCCCGGATGCTAGCCACTCACTACGGCAAAGCGATATCCAGGTTCTATAATAACTGGCCATTTCTAATTTGACTATGACGCTAAGAATCTGGACAAGGACGGACAACTTGACCGAGAGATACTTCGACTCGTCATGGTAACTCGACCGTGCAGCTATGCCATAGAATCTTACCGCATATAAACCCTTGACGCATTTTGTTCTTAACGAATACTTAGTCGTACGGGCATTTATATTCGTTTCGTTTTTCTCGTTGCTAAAGGTGTAACAATAATCATGGCACACTTCATCGGTTTAGCAAGTGCCGGCGTCCTGGCACTCGTCGTGCCATACTCTCATGCAGTCCCCTTCGTCTCTGAAGCTCAAACCACCGTGCAGTCCGAGGCGACCACAACAGTCCCTGTTGTTCCCGTGACGAACGTGACCTCTCACGGCCCATACACCGGCCCACCGGCTACGACAACCGGCGCACTCTCCACGGAGGTTACGGCTTTAACGATTCCAATCAGGCCACCAGAGCCGTACAAGCTGCAATATCCGGCAGACGGGCAGCTTCACCAACTGCAACCCGCACCGTACACGCCCGGCGGCGGCCTGGGAACCAACGGGTCCGAACCAGTATATCGTGTAATAAGCGATTTTGACTACGAGTCCGTTGCGTTAGCCCTCTACCAAGAGTGGATCGAGCTCGATCTCTTCCACTGGGGTTTAGCCAGGTTCTCCGCCCAAGAGTTCGAGGACGCCGGATTGAATGCTGAAGATCGGTATCTCATCCAGTTCATGGCCGAGCAAGAAGCTGGTCATGCTACAGCTCTGACTAACTTGCTGGGGGATAACGCTCCGGTCCAGTGTACTTACAACTACCCAGTGACAAGCGTGCGAGAATTCATCGACTTCAACCAGAAATTAACCCGATGGGGAGAGTCGGGCGTATATGGTTTCTTGAATCATCTTGATTCGCGTGAAACGGCTCAGATACTATTGCAGTCTATCACAACAGAGGCACGACAGCAGCTCATTTTCCGCCAGTTCGATGGCCTCTTTCCTATGCCTGTGTGGTTTGAGATAGGCATCCCACAATCCTGGGCGTGGACCCTCCTGGCCCCGTATATCTCGTCGTGTCCAGCTAACCAGACTCGCCTGATCTGGCAGAACTTCCCTTCGCTACGCGTCATCAACCAGCCAAACCCAGCTCGTGTCAACGGTTCTGACGCCTGGAACGAGACCACCGGCGGGTACGCGAACACACTCAGCACTCGGAATATTTCAGCAACAGAGAGCTGTCTGCGCGGTGGCGTCGGTCAAAACTGCGGGCCGGCCATAACCCATAATAGGACCACCCCGTTATCATATCCCGGCCGCCAAATTTTCCTGAAGTGGGATAGCCCTGGAAATCTCATCGGGCCTAACAACAGCTACGTCACTAGCACGTCGGCAGGATACCCTAGGTTCGCAGCCTGGGTCTCTCAGCTCAACGTCACCTATACTCCCTTACAGAATATCAGTGGCAACACTGCATATACCATTCAACCCAACACCTCGACGTACGAAGGTGATCCTGCAGTGAACGGTACCATCTTCTTGGTCATCACAGACGACGATTTATACGTCACGCCATTCAACCTCACGCAGATCAACCCACATGTCAACGCGTTAGCCATCTACCAAGCGGGATAAGCTGCAGCTTTTCAATTCGTTTCCAAGTGCAGACTGAGTATGGAGAACAGGCTGCTTGAAACCGATATGCCAGGGAAGGGTAAGAAGCGAATTGACAAGAAACTAGGCAGGGTCAAGGCATAGGCCGCAATGGTATCATGCTACGCGCACAAGATGCACTTCATAGCCATGATAGATCAGAAATCAAGCCAGCCAAACTTTTCAGTCGTGATTGCTCTCTCCACGCTATCGATACTATACCGTCTCTAGAATGAATGACAATATCAGAAACAAGTTCAGATCTATCCATCACTTACTCCAAAGACTATTAGCTCCTTGCAAAGCACCACGCTGAGATGTGTAGGAAGATTGTCGCCAATTCTTATCCTGTCATCTAGTGATAGTCCTTAGAACGTGAATACCGGCCAACGTCGTAGAAAGCACCATTACTCCGTTTTGCCGTTTCCAAATCAAACGCTGGGTATCTACTTTTCCAAATAAGCTGTTGAATCAACGGATTGAAAAGAGAAAGAAAGAAGGCCGTGTAAATAACGACATATAGGCTCGCGATATCAGCGCGCACAGAAATCCCAAAGTTCCGAATTAGTAGTGATCCGGCAAGTCCGATGGAATACCGGCGGGCAGCTGCATTTCCGCATACGCGTATTATGAATACGAACGCAGCTGCTATCGTGACGGAACGTTTATTTCGTATCCAATCAGTACTTCGGTAGTTGTCCCTTCCCAGCCTCGGTTCCCCGCAGCTGATATCATGAAGCGACTCGACGGATCGATGTATAAGCTGGATATGACGCCGGCGCGTGGCGGGCCAGGGATAATCAGGAAAGGTGGCGGCGAGTGTTTAGACGAATGCTCGGAGCGAAGATCGTAAAGTCGAAGAATGTCGTGAGAGGCACAAACTAGATGCCGTCCGTTGGCCATTGATCGAACGCAGCTAACCGGTCCGCTTCCACCAGGGAACTTAAAAACCCGTTCTGGTTGCCAACCTACGCGACCGCCCTTTGCCTTCTGTATGCTGAATTCCTCCACCGTACCGTTTCTCCTGCCCGCGTATATCCAATTGCCATCCGGGCTCCAGCACGCGCCCATGCACCAAGGAGGGATACCAGGCCTGTTCCCAATACGCGCCACGGGATTTTGCATTCGACGATCCCAAATACGTAAGGTCCCATCAATAGACGCGGAGAGAAAAGTACTATCCGAAGTCTGTGTCATATCGTAATGCGCAGGGGGCGGGGCGGCGAAAAGAGTGGACGGTGACTGAGGCAACTCCCCTTGGCCACCCTGAGCAGGCGGCAACGGCATATCTGCTAGCTGCGATCGTAACGTGCTGTCGCCCGGGTTTATTGACTGCGAAAAGTCCGGCATGGACGACAGAGACGAGAGGTCGAGATTTACGTCGGTCCCAAAAGAACTGAGCGCATTGTCGCCAAATAGAGTAGGTTCTGATGAGTTCGAATTAGGAAGAGGCTGAGCGGCTAGCACTTGACCCGATCCTGATTCAAAGGCTGAACCAGACATATTATAGTTGCCTATCGCAACATCGGCATCCTGAGCCGAATCTTGCCTCATCGCTCGGGAAAATTCGTTATCCTCGTCCCCTTCATAAGCGCCCATGCCGTCGTTGTCACCGAAGAGATCGGAGCCGACTGTTGGGCTGCCACCAAATAGGCTGTCCTGCGCAGGACTCCCTCGACCATCAGGCATGGCGTCTCTCCCATTAGCTATCTGGTCAGAAACGCCATTGACTCCTATACCGTTCACGCCAGCGTCGATATCCATGCCAAATCCTTCATCCTTCTCAAATTTTAAATCGCCGTCGGCACCAGGATGCGTATTGTTGCTGAAGAACGTATCGCTCAGGATCTCCTCTTCGCTAGCTTCCGGGGGAATCGGTTGCCCCCCCATGGGCCGAATCTCGACGGCAGAAATCTGACCTCCACTTCCATCAAACTGACGCGCCACCTGGCCCGTATTTAGATCCCAGTCAAATATATTCTTATCCCAGCTGCCACTCAGTACGCTCTTCTCACCCGGAGAAAGAGTCAGAACGCTGACGGCGTTGGTATGCTTCTTGAGACATGCGATCCGTTTCCCCTCGTCGTGACGCACGCTTTGGAGATTAATGCCGCCGCTCTCGAGGCCGGAAAGGAGCCACAAGGCCTGGGAGTGGACAGCTAGGCTGTAGACGGGGCTGAGGACCAAGTCTTCTTGTCGCACAGGGGCAGGTTGGGGCTCGGCATTTTCCCAATACGACATCAAGACACCAGCCTTAGTTACAGAGTCGACGAATGGATGACGCTGCGCTACAGTCAGGAGGGTCTTACCGTTGATTGTAGCGGGCCCGTCGTACTTCCTGATATATCCGTCACTTCCACCCGTCATCCAGTAACGAAGATCGGGGGTTATAGCTATCGCATTGATGCTAGTAGCCATGGGAGCTGCCATAGTGGGAACAATATCGTACGTAGCTGCGGTGAGCACTTCCGGGCGAACCTTGGGCTTCCACTTGGGAGTAGAGTGAGGACCGGGGGTAGCCGAGGTTCGAGTGGCGGCCGGGTTAGCCAAGCCGTTCGGTTGTTGGTGGTCATGAGCGTCTTCTTCGTCTTCATTCTCGTGTTGGTCGGGATCATCGTCTTCCTCTTCGTCATTTTCGTTATCATTATCGTTGTCATTGTCATTGTCGTCTTCGTCGTGATCTGGATTGTCATTCTCGTCCTCGCCATCTACATCTACGTCGGCATCAGCATCGCCGTCCGCTTCGTGGATCATAATATCGTCATCGTGTTCGTTATCCGAGCTCGCATTGGAGTCTCGATCAAAGTCGTCCATGGCTGAACAATGCTATCGACTACGATCGACTACGATCGACTACGACAAAGCGCAATTATGTGCCAGCCTACGAATAGCATTATACAGCTTCGTTCGGGATTCTTTAGTGTATGCTAAAGCTATTGTAGCAATATTAAGGAAATATGTCTACTCAAAGGTATGAAAAGTGAATAGGTAGTAAAAAGATGATATGTAATCTAAACTAAAATTATACGACAGAAGACGGCCGAGCGCGTAAGAGTTTAGTTAGTCGGATAAATGAAAGATAAATGAAGATATGTATAAACCAAGGGCTGTGTATGTATATGGGTTTATGCATATAAAGGGCATTTAACCTCGCTACCAAGACTCAATAAAATGCGAGACATGTAGACATTGATGCATACAGATTTACCTCTAGATAGATGTAAGTAAGGCGAGATTAAGTGCATTATACATGTAAAGTTCTCAAGCACTTTCAATGTTGGGTACATAAGGTAGGATATCATGTTTGAGGGCACAATTCAGCATATATTAGTTACCTAAGGTATGTAGGTTCACGTACTGCACCTCCTAACCTCCTCTATACAAGTATGCTCCGTTTGCTTAACGTATCACTTATCTAGTAATAAGTGATAAATTAACCGTGCAAAAACCCTCAAGTATAATGTCAATGTAAGTAAAAGAGCCATAAAATTTACAAAGTACATATAGGGCTAAAGCGCCTGAACTCCCACCTAAGACTCTTACAACTCTAAACGTCCCACGTCCCCTGTTCCCATACCTCCGCATCCCCCTATCCCGATCATTCTCCAATTCACACTCATCAAGTTTTCTCATAGACGTAATAAGTAGTAGGCTTCAGAAATATCAAAGGAACGGCTAATTCCTGCCCCTATTGCCCCTGTTGCCCCTGCCTCCGTTTGGATTTCTTGTATTTCTCCCTTTAGCTTCAGATCTCCAATCGGTCTCCTGGCCTTGAGAAGATGTCTTTGTCATAGGAGTGCTAGACGAAGGATTAAGGCCTGCTTCGTCAGGCGGAAAGACCACTCTGGCTTTCTTCTCCTCGAAGGTCTCGTAATCATCATCTGCCGTATAATCCGCTGCTACTTTCGGTCTATTGGAGACCGGTAGTTTCCCAATCCTTCTTCTTGAACTGGAAGGTAGTGGCTCATCATCATCTTCTCTTACTCGCTTTCTATTGTCTGCGTTGTATACTACGACTGACTCCCCGCCTTCGGGCGGCTGCATCAAAGTTGCCGCGTCTACGTCTCGAGCTCCGTCCCGAGTAGTTTTAACCACTTCCACCGCGATACGTGCTCTGTAGCCCATTTCCTGAACAGCTTCGTATGCGGTAAGGCCAATCATCTCCCATCGCACCAAGTCAGGGTTAAACCACCCGGTCATGTCTTCCCAGAGGTTTTCGTTATAATGATAGGAACCACCTCGCTCCATATCCACTATCCGGTCCATAATATGCCTCGCTGCCCAAAACGTTCGGAGACCGCAGCTCCAGGTGTCTAACTGCCGGGCTGTAGATATATCGCGCTGGTGACCTCGAGCAAACGTGAATTGATTTTTTCTGAGGAACTTTTGCAGTCGACCTTCAGCGAATTGTTTTCTAGGTCCCCTCGTTGAATCTTCCCACGAATCAATAATGCCTACTTGAACAATTCTTGTCCATCCATCATCTTTCTTAGTCGGATTCTGTTTACGGACAACACCTAGTTCCCAATGGTTACCATGAATGTTCATCGGCCACAGGGTGTATTCGGTCCGCCTAAGGCTCCGACAGAATCTGCCATAGTTTCTTGTTAATATGTCCTGAAACGTCTTCTCGTTAGTCCCAAATATTCCTTCAATACTCGTGTCTGCAATGTGGATCATGCCCCTGGCCAACTTCGGTAGGCTGTTATGGTACACCTTTAGCGCTTTATCGAGAGCATCGCCGTTGAGCCATTCCTCGCGGCTGGCCTGAAGCTGATTAAGACCTCTTATATCTGGCCAGCCATTGGGCGGATCAGGTAAGTTACTACCAGGTAGTTCTATATGTCTGTGTCGACATTGTCCTTGGTCCGGTCCTTGGGTTCCGCATAGTATCTGCGCTGGCGAGGTGTCCGGCATGTTTTGTTCTCGCCTTATATGATAAATGATCCCAAACGATGATAAAACCTTGGGCAGTATTTCGTATTGCACTCGTGATATTGTAATCTCTTTATACTACCAACAGCCGTGTCTATGTGTAAGTTGTGTATCGCTATAAAATACAGGTGAATTCTAGTATGTTTTATTACACCACTAATGAGTAATCCTGTGTAGTAGGCCAAACCTATTGGGTTATTGATGCGTCGGCTGGTTGCTGGAGTTATTAAGATATTCGTGCCTGCTAACAAAGGTGGCTGTAGGCGTCCTTAATAGGGGAAACTCTTAATATATCTTTGTGCTCCGCCGAATCCGACGACCTACGAGCACAATGGGCTACAAGGTGAATCGGTGGTCAAACTTCGGTTTCGGTCGACCCCTAGTGCCCCTTTGTTATTGAAAGCGAGTACGGAAAAGACAAGAAATTATGCTCGAGGTATGGTAATCCAACCTACCATCCAAGTAAGATCAAAAGAAGCTCCTTAGCAATTGAAACCTCTAGGATTCTTTGTGGACTAAGTTGCTAACCATCTTGAAGCTTCAATAAGATTCACAATATCAACAACTAACATGACGAGGAAATTTAGGTATAAATCAAATTACTAAGTCAATATGCTTATGGTATTTCGTAGCTATAGATAAAGTCGTTGCAAATTTATAGTTCTAGAAAGCTTCTCTCCGTCTACTCAAATCCTTACTAAACTGTCGCATACTGATAGAACTTACACTCCTAGTTAGCTAACTCACTCGATATACTCACTGAGATACGGTGATCTTGACACGGCGTTTGCGCTGTAGCCCCCTCTTGGTAAGCCTTGAGGTTGCCTATAAGTCTTTTATTACGGCTCTCTAATACTTCGTACGAGCCAGAATATTACCGTAAGCGTGATTTTCGTAGTTGAGTAAATATCAAGGGAGTTAAACATCATGATATAAATACAAAGAAGAACAAAAATTGGACTCAAGGGTTTACGTATTAGTTTAAGTATCTTAGGTAGTTTTGCTGGACTTGAATATAAAACCATACTTGTGCTGTCTAGGTACGTGGTATAGGTATAAGGCAATATCATGGGAAGTGGATGCACAGCCACTCCGCCACAGTGGCACACGACCTAGTTAAGGTAGGTACCTAGGTTAGCTCTGGGCAAGCTCTAGGCAAAGTCTGGGCATACGATTTACACACACAGAATCCACGATCCTCCATCAATACCTAATTTGTTATTATCGGCAGGATTGTTAACGCATAGTCGTGATTACCTAGGCCAATTTTGGAATACTAACTACAATATGGAGGTCCATTGTCCGGCTAGCCTGGTTGACTTCTTCCAACTACCAACTTCTAATTGCCAATTGTTAATTTCCAAGTGTTTAACCATCAGTCAAGGCATGTAACAATATTTTGTAGCTTTCTCTCACTTCCACCGGCAGAATCGCTATTTTCTTATATATCAACGTGTCAAGGAGGGAAGTTGTTGGTTCCCTGGGAGCGAGGCAGCGAGCTGGCGGCTTTCAGATGCTCGCTACAACTCCAAATCGCGGCGTCGTGTCGTTCTTTTTGAGTTTTCTGCTCTGCTATGTTGTAATTACTCTCTATCTGCGGTCCAAGTGCTATCGCGATCCATCTTCCCTCTTTTTTAAGCCCGAATCCGCTCGCGTCCTGACATATTCTTCCTTTCGCAAGGCCCAGGCCCGGAAGTATGCAGATCTAGCTGCGCTGCATACCCCGACAAAATGGGTCGCCAACTCCACCGCTCCCGAACTTTGTATCGGCATTGCCTCGGTAAGCCGGCATGGGTTCTCTTATTTGAAAGAAACCCTCGGGTCGGTGCTCGACGGCTTAGCTGATCTTGAACGTCAACGCATCTACGTCGTCGTCTTCCTAGCCCACACCGATCAATCCCAACACGAAGATTTCAACCAACCCTGGCTCATCAACATGGCCGACAACCTTCCAACTTACCCAGACGACGCCGAAACCTCCGACCTTGTGCGCCAGCTCGAAATTAGCGGAGACTACGAAGCCCATGCCCGAAAGCAGAAGATCGATTACACAATATTACTGGGCGAATGCACCAGAGTCGGCGCTAAATACATCATGACCTTGGAGGACGATGTGATTGCTTTAGATGGATGGTATCACCGAGCTCTCGGCGCTTTGCATACCGCCACGAGGAAGACTCAGGAGCTCGGACGGGATGGGTGTATGTATCGATCCATATATTAGCAAAGATATGCCTTATGCCTCGTAAATTATTCTCTTCGTATAAACTATTACTAACCCGGTTATCATCTACGTAGTTCTCTACCTGCGCGTCTTCTACGACGGTAGGCTCCTCGGCTGGAATAGCGAGGAATGGCCAATATATGTCGAATCAAGCATAGCAATACTAATTGCCGAAGTTTTAATTTTGATAACTCTTCGCTGGCGTATTGCCATGCTGCGTAAAACTCTGACCTCTTCGGTCCTCTTCTTGCTCTGCGGAGTTGGTACTCCTATGCTGATCGGTCTGTTCTTCGCGGCCGGCCGTAATTGCATGTTACCAAAAGAACCTGGCGTTCACCTTATGCAAAAGTACGGTTGTTGCGCCCAAGGACTCATATATCCTCAGCGTCAGGTACTCGAGCACTTGCTCCCCCTATACCGCGAGACCCACGATAGCCACGCTGCTGTTGATACATTCCTGGAGGATTGGGCCAATAATCACGATAGCTTGCGCTGGGCTGTCACCCCGGTCTTGATTCAGCACGTCGGCGGCAAAAGCTCACACGGCGCAGGCGACCAAGAATTGGGCTCGCTTACTGACGATATGCCATTCGATTATTCGTTTGAAATGAATGATCCTATCAAGCTTGCAGCGGAGCACCAAGCATGGGTTGCAGAGATGTCAAGAGAGAATCCCGTAATAATGAGTAAATAAATTTTATCAATATAGTTCGGGTTAAACATTACCACCACGTGTGAAATGCCTTGTGTTTACAGCGTATTGACATAGCAGAATAATTTTCTTAATTGAGATGTTGATAGGAAATGCCGTGTCCTGGAATTGCGTTGATTGATTAAGATGCTGTGTTGGTTGGTACTGGTAATTGATGAAATCACGATCGATTACATTACTGCCCGGGAGAGAAAATGGTTTTCATTATGCAGAATACAAGATACCATTTAATACCTCTAGCCAACAATGGGTATTACGACCCTATAAGAGCACTTCATGTAAGCTAGTATGGAAAACAAGTTTAATAACAAGTCCTGATCAAAGGCAACAAGCCGAAGGATATACAATGACAAATATAACTATAATACCTATAATGGAGTCACCCTACATAAAATACAAAAGGAGTGGGGATATGATATCGATATGTAGTGTTTTTACACACTCGCTACTAATATTTTTAGCTTTTCAAAAATATAGCGCTTGACTCTTGACGCCTTACTAATAGTAAGTAGCCTCCTCCAATTTCTGAATGGGGTTGTTCCTTTGGGGAGATTTCTGCACTCGGACTTTATATCAGATCCGACTGGAATTGCTATTGCCTACTCGAACATCCTATAGTGAGGCTATATGAGTAGACGATAATACCAAACATGATTCTAGTCTGGTTTCCAACAACGGGGGCAGAATCGGCGATGCGCCAAAATATCGTAGTCATCACGATGCGAATTCTGATGTGCGACTCATGTCTCATCACATCGTCTCCGGTGAATTGTAGTACTCGAGAAGGTGGTATATCCCGTGTCCTCAGGAAACTTAACCTTATCGCATCTTTTATTCAGCTCATCCAGCTCGACCCAGTCCAAAGGGTCAGAGCCGTAGCATCTATCAATTGTCAGCCGGATACCGCCAACAAGATTAACCGATAGAAAGCATGCCATTCAAACCCGTGGAATAGGGTTGCTTGTACTTACTCTTCCCATACCTCTTGTGGTGTCCCAATGAACATGGCAGGAAGACACTTGCTGAGGATTTGTGCATAAACATCCCTGTATAAGTGAATGCCAAATACCAGTGTTGTTGGGCTGACTAGTTCGAACCCTATAGGCGAATCAACCACTTCGTGGCCCAAAGCGCGGATAAAAGCTTTATCTGACGTGTTGAAAACGGGCTCCTGGAAGATACATCGGATCGTACGTGAACTACTACGCTGAAGTTGCTCAACGATGAAAAGAAAAGCGGCCAGTTGTATATGTGCCTTTCGCTTCATCTCCCAGGAGCTATCTTCGGGATCGAACGATCCTGTGCCAAAGCAGATGGCGTCGGAAATATTGGAAGGGGACATACGCGATTCGAGAATTTCTTGCAACTTATGATAGCATATCGACGTCTCCCATTGGTACTTGATACGCTTGTGCTCCTCTGTGATGGCAGGGACGGATAAAGACGACGACCGCACCGAGCCAGCGATACCTCCCGCGACATACGAAGAGGCGACGGAGTGAGGTGCTTTAGGTCGGCGCCGTCCCTTGTGACGAACATGGGTCCATTGCTCTTCAGGCTCGGCTGTTCTCTCGCGACCATTTATCACTGTTGGGGCCATGGAGCAATCAACATAAGCAACACTTGCATAAATATAATGGCCATGTAGAAATTCGCGGTAGGGATTCTAATAACCGATCTTATGGAAGAGCCGCCACGAGCTATGATCGAAGTATGTAAATAGTCTGCAATTCTAATTTTGATGAAATTCTAATTTTGATGGATTAAGAATGTGACTACCTAGGTAGGTAAATATAGGTATAGCTCTTGATTCATTTTCTAATATGTTATGTACCTAGAAATGGCGCTTAAGATACATAGTGGCTTATCATAAAGGTCCACATAAGGGAAACGAATAATATGTAATTAAGAAATTGTTTCCGCGAACATCAATGTTGTCAACTGTTAAAGCCACCATAACGGGTACCTAGGTACTTGTACCTGGTCCTACTAGCCACACCTTAAGACTTACGGCATACATGTAGGTAAAAGACTTTTCGTTTAATGTAGCCGCCTTCATGCATGAGATGAGACGCGGGAGGAAAATTGATGGCGAAAACTCACTTAACCTGTCATCGGGAGGCTACCACGTTCTTATGATCATAGAAAACATCCGAATGCCACTTGGGCACTTGATTTGGAATCCGGAATTTGTATCGGTCGTTGAAAATGACCCATAGTAATCTCTTGTTTTGAGAAAGGGGGGGGGGGGGGGGGGGGGGCAAAGACAGAGCAAAGTGGTTGTTAAAAAATTATTGCGTGTGGTTTACGAAATGTAATTATTATAAGCGCGGGAAGATTGTGAGTCTTGTTATGG